CGTTGTTTTTGCCAAGAATTTGTCAACCAATAGGCTACTGCACAGGGCGTGGCACCAACTGCTTGGGAGCACCAATTTAATAATACCTACAACCAATGGAAGGTAATTTTTATTTTCACTGGCCTAATTTTTAAACTACAAATAAATGTAAACATGGCTGACAAGATTTTCGCATTTTATGATTTTTGATGATTTTGATGAGCTTCCATGATTTCATGAGATGGCAGGATTTCAGATGACCGACAAACACTGTCAATGAGGCAGCCAAACACTGTCAATGAGGCAGCCAAACACTGTCAATTAGGCAGCCAAACACTGTCAATGAGGCAGCCAAACACTGTCAATTAGGCAGCCAAACACTGTCAATTAGGCAGCCATTTGCACAGACTGCTTTGTTTTGGTCACCAAGTTTCACGTGTGGAACAAGTGAAAGTGGAGCTTCACGTCTGTGCAATGTCAGTCTACTAGCAATATAATGGAAGTCTTCCTATACTGCTGTAATCGCCGCATCACGGCGTTATGAGCCATCAAGAACTGTCCACTCAGGTGTGACTTTAACCTAGAACCACTTCATCACTGGTGCAGATACTTCTGGCTAACCACACTATACAGTGCCCTTACATTGGCCAAAAGACGTACAAATTAATTTTGTAGCGTTAGCCTCACTACAAAAGGAGGTGAAGTGAATGCAGTCACAAGATTTCTGCACCAGTAGGCAGAGGGTGAGGTTCACTACCTGTTGAACTGTCAAAACTGCTAGTACGCGAGCAACCCTTGTGACGCTGGTTCATCGGGAAGCACATAGAGGCTGTGCATGGTGTCTCGGTAACTGCTTCTCTTACAGAGGGGATCCAGCGGAAAAGATCTACTCACATGTATCCCTGTGGAACAGAAGCTCTTACGAGGGTCCAATTTCATAGAGCTGCTTAAGCACAAAATTTGCTTAAGCGCAAAAAAACCTTACTTGATAAATCAGGTAACCAGCCAAAACTCCATGTGATGTATATTGTTTTGGGATTGTATTTAGCTGATTTTTGGTTAGCATGACAATCAGATAGAGTTTGAGCTGGGTAACCTTTGTTTATTAAGCAAAGTTTTTTTCCTGCTTAAGCAGATTTTGTGCTTAATCAGCTCTATGAAATTGGCCCCAGAAAACGGCTGCCATGCACAACCTTGATGTCTGTGAATTCTGCTGCAAACTTTGGGGGTTATTTCTGCGGATGTGCGATCTAACGAAAGATGAACCGGCACCCAACAGCAGTCTGATTTTCTCGCCGTGCCCTAATCTATGCACCGAGCACTTTCTTGACCGTGAAGGGGGGCACGTTATAGAAGAACAGAATGAGGAACACAATGAAGAGGAACAGCAGCAGGATTTTGAGTATGGTCCACTTGAAGCGGTCCCAGATAACATAGCGCAGAGCCTTCAGGGGGTTGAGGAACCAGACAAAGGAGGTGTCGGGACGGCTGGTTAGGGAGTTAAAAAGGGGAGAAGAGGGTACGATGAAGGAGTTAGTTGGGGTTAGAACAAGTAGAAAAGTTCACAACAGTATTTTAGCATAAGGCTGCCAGATTCCCTATTTAAAAACACTTTGAAGAGGTTCTTTGCAGAGAGAGTGGCAAAGTTAAGGAGGCCTACTTTGAAGAAATTTTTGCCCCGATCAGTCAGGTGCACAAATTTCAAAAGATTTATTGAGAAGTTTCAGAAACAACTGTGTCTCAGTTTACCAACTGGAAATCGGGCAACCTTGGAAAGAGCAAAACCATAACAAAGCAGAGAAACGCTCAGGTGGTATATTAGACCCCTTTTATGCTTGTATAAATGCAATGAGGCTTCAGCATAAGTTATCTACACTGAGAATGTTTCGCTTTTCTAGACATTGGGGTGACTGGTTACTAGACTGAAGTTTAAAAAGCACGAGAAAAGGTCTGCCACATCGTATGTTTTGGAGATCAGGAGAAGAACATTCAGAGCAGAAATGGTTAGGGATATTGCAATTGCCCTGAACTGATGTTAGTGTTCATTACACATGTATACTCGAGTGCCCTCCGACAGTGTAATAACAGTGTGATAATTAGCATTCAAAATATCGATGAACAGTTACAACGGCTGCCCTTGTAGTCAGAGGGACGTAGGTTAGGTTACTGGATTGAATCCCATTTCAAACAAGCTTATGAAGTTTGCTTCCCTCTTGGAGGGCATCCAATATATGGAATTTTACATTAAAATCCAATATCATAGGTAATAAAATGGTTATTAACTAGATACACAATGACTGGTACAAACCAGTTGCTTAAATGCCTATTGGCAGCTTTTGGGGCCAAAAACATTATGGGGTCAAATTTTTGTCCCCGTAACTTGTTTCTGCCTTTCCTATACAAAGGAAATCAGCCACTTAACACGGGAAAGGCCTTATGTATCCACTTGAATAGCACATTATAAACATCCTGAGCCTATCAGCTCCTTTGGTATACCCACTTGCATATGAACCTGTGCAACCCAGGGGCCATAAGAACCCACAAGGTACCCACTTGCATACCGAACTATGCATACCTTCCGCCCATCTGAACCCACTAACACCCATCCACCAACTACCTACCACCAACCTGATAGCAGCCATACAAGGATAGCATCAAAAGAAACCCACCACCACTCATGCATCGAACATTTTCTTGACGGCGTAACCCGGCATGGAGTACACGAACAGGGCTAGCAGGGCAATCAGGCAGACCAAGATGAAGACCTTGACGAAGAGGTGGCGGTAGTGGTGCCAGAGGGCATACTTGAGGGTCTTGAAGGGGTGCCAAAGCCACAGGAAGGAGGAATCGGGTCGCCTAATTTTTTTTTCATGACCGTGGGGGTGTCGTGGGGGCATTGCCCAATTCAAAGAATTGCAGTGGCAGTGAAGATGGTTTTTCAGGCGATATTGAAGCAGTGCCATTTCAAAGTTGAGAGTTGTGGGTTTGGATGCATGGGAATTAATGCAGAAGGTTTAATTGCCATGTTGCAGGTGCCAGAATTTTCAAATTGGAATGACAGCCGTAATAAAAAAAAATGAAAATGTTGGTTTGGGTCATTTTTTTTTAAAGGTGGGTGTTGCAAATTTTTTAGGATGTTGACAAATGTTTGGAGGGGTGGTGTTGAATTATGAATCATTTCATTTGAGGGGGATGATGGGGCATGGCAATCAGGGTAATGTTGGGCAAAATGGCAAATTGGTGGTATCATCAATTGATGCACATTGATTTTGTTGTTCGCAAGGCAAGTTGAATGGGTGCAAACGGGTTAAATATGGCCGAATGACAAGCGATATGGAGTGTGAAGGATGCGCATTGCGCACATGGGTCAAGATACGGAGAAGTCGAGAGGTTGGTTGGTAAAAAGCATGTACATTTGTTTTTTTAAATCGATCAGTTTGTAGTTTGGGAGAAAAATTTGTCATCCAAAAACAAAGTTTTCAGTAAAATGGAAAGGAAAGTGAGACAGAAGGCAAGTTTGCATGTGCAATTAATTGAGCAGTTTTAGCAAAGGGAAAACAGTCATATCATGTCACCAGAAATTTATCAATTCAAAATTACAAAAAAAACAAAAACATACAAGGCACATTGTAAGGAGAATAGTAAGATAGTTGGGAGAGATTTTGAGTGGAAATTTTGACCATGAAAAGCAGTTGCCGTATCAAGGCAGATGCATCCATTGCATTTGACATATACCATTATTTGAGGAAAAAAATCAGAAGACATAAATTATATTGAGCGAATTAAAGATTTGAATTGTCATCATTGGCACATGTTGTGAGAAGAAATTGGTAGTTTGTAAATTAGTATTGTGAGATGCGGAAAACAACAGGTACATGTATATTGTTTATGAGGGATACACAATTTGGATAAGTTATTCATGAAATGTAGGCATGTGTTTTACAAGTAAATGACGGGCAGTGACAATGAGATTGGAGAGAAGAGAAACGAGACAGCATTGTCAATGCATGTCTTGCGCTTGAACTCATTAAAAGAAGTCAGCTCTACAAGAAGCACGCAGTGACGACTACCCAGCTGATAAAAAGCAACTAAAGTTGCAATGATTCTGAGTCCTCAGCTCAACTTGTACATTTGCATGGTGAAAATACAACTTGCATTGAATTTGAAATCCTCCATAGAAAATCATTCTGTCAAACAAACACATACTGTTTATCAAACTTTCACCACAGGTAAGATCATTAACGTACAGTAGTTTTGAAACTGAAAATGCATAGGCCTACCGTACTTGTTTTTGTTTTTTTACAGAGGTATTTGACTCAAATAGATATTTTTAACTCAAAGCAGATATTTTTAAAAGAAATCTATGGGGTCTTAAAATACAAGCGCCTCGTGAGCAGTGCAGACTTTAGGGCAACAGAGAGGATAAGTGCCAGCAAGCACGCTATTTTTACATGCACACCTCTACACAGGACAGACTTCGGCAATGCATGCTGGAAGTACTAAATATGATAATGTTTGCGGTATTAAACATCACATGAACAGTTCTCTCTCAATTCTCCCCTTGTCTCCTCCCCCCCCCCCGGGTCTGCCAATGATAACGGTTTGACCATTGCCATCGGCTATGACCTGCGGAAAGTTGAGCCCGTCATCTCAAGATTCTAGTGTTGATTCAATGAATCTTTTCAGATGAACAGCTGTGCCGGCCACCTGATCAAATCACCTGATCTTAATGAGAGGGGGAAACCACGCACGTTATTCTCTGGGACTATCTGAATGCAACAGTTCCCGCTGAGCTCTGCGGTGCACACTGCTATCAACCTGTAAGAGTCAATAATGGCTAACTTTGTTTTTCTCTGCTGCCTTGACACCAAAGAGTTCCTCCATTCTCCTTAAAGCAGTTGAGTCACTCCTAAGGACGTTCTTCTGCTGGGGTACCTGTAATCTTCCTTTCGTGACTTATCCTTCATTGTTAGCATGGTATAAGCAGAGAATGTGAATAAATGAGATGTTTGGGTACATACTTTGGTTTTTCCAGCGGGTCCGGTTCGTCCCGAGCGAGGCCAGCTGGGTTCTTCTCAGCCTCCTCTTCAGTTAGCAGAGTAATCTCGGCTTCGACTTTGCCCTATGAGAAATATTATGCCGGGTTGTTGATATATCTGACTTTTAATAGGTAAAATATAAAGACGTTGGACAGAGGTAAATAAAATGATTTAATTACGTAAATTAAAAAAAATTTTCAAAGCTAATTATTTCACAAAGCAGTTGGCAACTTTGTGTGAGAGAGAACACGACCTGGCTATCTGTGTACACAGGTATGGCCAGCATGTTAAAATGTCAAGTGTGCCTTGCGTCACCTCCGGCATTTAAACGTGCTCATCCCCCATCTATTTAGTACGCACCCACACACACCGGCACCCTCGTTCCGTGATTGTGGGAGACACACCCGATATTTCACGTATTTTGTGGGGACCAAAACGTTACGGGGACACAGAAATGTCTCCACAATTCCGTCCAAATTTGTCAAACCTCCCCTGAAAGCAGTGAATGCATAACCACACGCCCACACAAGAAGACTGTGGAGGCAGACCGTGTAGTTAACTTGAGCTTGGCTGATGCACGGACGCTGTGGTTACAAAAACTGCTCCATGGGCATGCCATGCACAAAGTGTGAAGCAGAATGAGCACTGTATGAAGTATTGTACATGTAGAAATACCATTCATATGACTCCTGCACCGATCATTATTTGTGGGATTTGGCTGTGTTTCAATGCATGCCTTTTCAAAAATTGAAATTCTAGCCAAATATAACACAGGGGTTAAGAATGTTTTAACCATCCTAAAGATCCTTTGTGACCTAGAACCAGCCCATAAAGGTAAAAACTTGGGCGTGCCAAGGAGTGTTGAGCAATATGGCACTGCAATATGAAATATCGGTACATCATATAAATATTGACTGGGTCGTTCAGTTTATGTGGTGATTAGATATGTGTAGGAGAAGTTGGCTGCCACCCGGTATATTTTGCCCGTTTCAAACATTTCAATGTTTCATACAACATTTTACTGTTTGCAGGGGCGTAAAGAAGGCACCTGGGAGGGGGGTGTGCCAGAGTCAAGTGCTGACAGGTGACTGGTTTGCCAACCTCGTGTCAAATTAAATGGAAATCCGTGGTATGCTACATTTCATGCCTCAGGGGAAATGCCGACAGCCAACGTAAATCATTTATGTACCAATTTTCGATTCATTCGCCGATCGAAGCTCTATTTGCCGACTGGAATCGGTTATGGGGGGGGTTAGGATGCTGCCCGGGGTCACTACGCCTCTGACTATCGGCAGGGTTTAACCAAGAACCAGCGCATTAAAGTGGAAAACATACCGTCAGTTCTTCCTCCTCCTGCTGTGACTTGGCGATAAACGGCCACCAGCCCTTGATACGCTTCATCTTGAAGATGTTGACTTGGGGCACGCTGCCGTCCGTCTTCAAGAGGTCGGGGGAGCACTTTTTGGCGGTCTTGGCACCACGGGGGAACCTGTTCAGGTTCAGTGCCACGGATCCTGGTGAATAAAAAAACAGGGACTTGGGAGTTCTTCACGATGACTTTATGATTTGCTGTCGTATACTGAAACTATCAGATGGTTACATGCTGTTCTCAGGGTAAATACATGAAACTGATATCAGACATACACAAGCAACTGACTGCGCTGAAGAAGAGTTTCAAAGTGGAATGGTTTACAGGGCATTTTGCAGACATGAAGTATGTCCCACGGATGTTGTGACTCATTTTGTGGGATCTGGTTACAAACGGTCCTGCCTAATGTACCTAGGAAGTCATCCGCCGAGAAGTGGTCGGCGTCCCACACCTGCATGTTGAGCCTGGGTGGGACCTTGTACTCTGTTTCGTCCAGGGAGAAAGCGGACTCCTTCTTGCGGATGACCATCTTCTCCTCGGCCTGGAGGTACTCGAAGGGGAAGATGAAACGCCAGTTGAAGTTGCCCTCGCCGGTCAGGGAGCGGTAGTGGACGTCTGTGGACTGGCAGTCAGTCTGGTTCCCGACCAGCCAGCTGCAGGTGGGCATGAAACAAGATTGAGAGAAAATTCAGGCAGGTAACCTGTTTTAAATTAGGTGACTGTTTAGCTATGCTCTTGACCAACCTGTGCCTAGGAATTGTCACAAGACCTACTTTGTTGTACCTGCAATACATTTCTGGGCTCCTTTCTAAAGATGTAATCCTTACATAAATGAAACCTCAGAGGCCACCCTAGATAGAGCTACGTTAAACAGCCATTAAGAAGTAGTGATAGTAACCATTCAGCAGTCCACACAATGTGAACTGGTCACATAAACACAGTCAGGCAATCTGCATAATAGGGGTGGCTCATGAGTTGAAACATGCCAACAATTTCCTGAGCTCCCAATGGAGAACATGCAGACACAGTGACACTAGTTTTACATATGAAATGTGGACATTCCTTTGTTCTCCTGTTAAAATGCTCCTTTTTCTCCCATTAGGATAACTCCTTCGAGCTGGATTTTCGATGATGATTTCCTTGACTGTTCCTCTTCACTTTGCCATGGATAACCTTGACCCCCAAATGCCTATAAAGCTCTTTTTCAGAGAGGGGAAAGCATTGTGTGGACATGTGCAAGTCCACACAATGCCATCGTACCATGGATCACGTGGACTTCTTTTGGACAGAGGTCCACACTATGTATGACACACCTGTGCCCCTAACACCCACCTGTTTCGATCACATATTATATCCACAAAGTCTCAGGAGACTTTGTGTTAAACTTGAACTTGGCTGCCATACATGGCCTCCATTTGTGGCAAACTTCTTACACAGAGATTGAAATTTAATTAATTTATTTTTATTTGGATCTCACTTCGCACTGTCGTTTTCGTCTTTGTACGCATACGTTACTTGTTTTAAGTCTTGCGTTCGTCCTGTCCCACGTAAGGGTACAAAAGCTACTGCTTCACCACTTTCACTTTCATGTTGCCATCATTCAAGTATTATGTACAAAATTTTTATTAAGATATTGTGTTTATATTTCATTTATCTCGGTATTATGTAATTAAGAACACACATGTATTCTATTGTAAATAAAGACAGCATGGAAATAAATGTGGGTTTGATTTGATTTGACATTGGTCTGTGGTGGGGCTTTGGAATATGGGTCATTCCATGAGGTTGGGGCACAGTTTGTGATGGTGTCCACTTGGGTTCCGTAAAAATGAACAGCTATTTCCCTGCATGTGGATTTGGAATTATACATCTCCCAAGGCCGAATACAGAGGTGTGTGTTACTTTTACAGAGCAAATGACCTACAGGTCATGACAGGTGGTAAAAGTTACCATGTAGCATGGACACCGTCACAAATTGTGCCCCAACCTAATGGAATGACCCGTATCTGAGCCGTATATCTGACCCGTATACTGAATAAATACTGTGCAAATGAATTTCAAGGATACGTATTTGAGGCACTGGGCTCTTCTTGAGAAGTTGGTTGAAACACTTTACTTTTAAAAAGTGGGCTTTTTCACCCGAAAATGATACTGTCTGCAAGTGGTTGAGAGATACACTTTTATGGACTCGGCAAAGACTTGACTACAGTGGGTGGTAAATGCCCGTAGCCTCTTGAGGAAGACTAGGTCCGACCTTACCCTTTCACAAAAATGTCACTGCTCTTCTCTCCAGTAAAGAAGGCGTCGTCTTCCAGGACCACGTCATCCGTGTTCCAGATGATGACCCGCAGCTCGTACTTCTTGGGTTTCCGCGGCGAGATGTCCACGGGGGCCCCCGGCAGGGGCATGTCCATGGGGAACATGTCCACCCACATCTCCAAACGGCCCTGACACCGCCAACAAAAGTTACCGTCATTATTGTTTATCATTCTTCAATGTGACTGGCGTCTTGACACCATTTTTCAGCACTTTTCCTTTACTTTACACAAGAAAGAGCAAAACGAGCCACGGATCTGTGAGCATCCTCGTGAAAAAGGACATTTTAAGGGTGAAAATGTTGTGGGTTCCTCTAGATTTCGATTAGGCAGGATTCTTTTAAGGCCTTCAACCCACTAGAGGCCTGGGTGACTCATTTTTTGAGGTTTGGGTCACAAATGTTTCTGGTTATATAATCAAGGATTCATCAAATCAGGCAGTCTAGAGCTTGCAAGCTTAACACACAAAACGGTAGACAGGAGGCAATCAGAATTGCTGGTTCAGAGGGTAGGAGGAAAGCCCAAGAAGAACAATCTCGGTAAAAAACCGACAGAATCAAGTAGGGACCAAACACCCACCCTGTGCACCTGCAGACTGGGCCAGGAACCAAACTAGGACTCGGAGGTGAAAGGCGAGAAAAGAACCACTTCGCTGACCTGCCCCCAATGGGTGCAACTGAGGGGGGGAGGTTTGCAAGAATTTCGGCCAGCACGACTGCATATTCCCTCCATACAAGGAAACTTCTAGGATCAACTTGTGAATTGCTTGTAACTAGCCCTCAGCCGAAGGAGAAAATCTGTCAGGCAGTATTTCTCTGCTCATCAGTAGCTCTATTACTAGTAGCGTGACAACGAATTCTTCCCCAATATGACTGCGAAGCAGTCTGTCACCCTATGTGCATGCTTACCTGCTCAATGCCTGGTTTGTCTGGGTGGTAGAGCGATCTGGTTTCTATGTGCTCGGGGACCAGCCGGCAGCCGACCTTCTCCACTTTGCCAAAGTTCTTGAGAGCTTCTAATGCTGCGTGTTCATCAGAGGGTTTCTTCACACCTATGAAGATACGCAGGAAATAGTTTGAAAATTCAAGCGTTGGTTTTAACACAGGTTTTTCCAGATATTTAAGATCTTTGTCACAAAAATTCTCTAAAATTTCCTTCCAAAGTAGCCTCAAACTCAATGCCTTTCTTCAATTTTAGAAAGCCACCAGTGGCTTCCATTTTTGGTGCGGTATCATTCTAATTCGTTCTAACTGGGGTAAACTGTCATGTTTACGTCAACACTGAATTTAATAAGTGAATCCATATGTCATTGAAATAGGAAAAACTTGTCATTCACCTCGAGAAATTCTAAAACAGATTCTTTGATTATAATGACTTCTTCAACCATACAAGTATGTTAACTTGACTTCCCCACTGATAAGTGTGAGCGTGGTATTAAAGTGCAACACCAGAGATGTATCCTGGCCCAAAGTTTGGCCGTGCAAGAATTTGCTGAATAGCACAACTGAATGATTCATATGAGCACTAATGTCCACTTCTCCAGTCCTTTTGGGGTTCTCACAGAACTAACACTCTCAAATCTGTACTCATACACGTAGTCAAGTACTCTTCTGTACTCAAGCTCTTACTAAAATATACTCAACTAACTAGGCAGCATGCTTGTATTCATACTCAATACAATGCACTCATTAAACTACATGTACATGCATGGATTGAAACACTCATGCCTGTACTCATACTCGAGATTCATTTTCTGTACTCAATAAAAATGTACAACCAAAGATTCAACCCTTTCAAAACTCATGGTTGCACAAATACTCAGGACAAATTTTCAGCATGCAAATTTATGAAGATGTATACTCAACCATAACAAAGGACGGCATACCGGGCTAATACTTGAACTAATACTTAGAATGAGTTTCAGCACTCCTACTCACGAAGAGTGCTCAATTGCAACCCACTGGTTGAAGTGCTGGCATGTGTATTCTGGAACGAATTACATGCTCAAACTCATACGTATAAAGAGAACCCAACACAAAAACTGCAAACTACTGTTCAAACCAACTGCCACAAAAGTCACAGATATAATTCACACTGTGAAGAGTTACACTTATAATCGTTTCCTGCAAATTGAGACAGTCAGAGGCAAAAGACAAGACACAAAATCAGATTCTTACAGTCAATTAAAGAGATTGATTAAACACAACATAAATCACTCCCCTCCCCCCCCCACTAAAAGGGCACTCCCTGATTGCCAAGAACAGAATATCCAAGGTAAGGGCAAATTTGGAATAATTTGGAACATATGGGATGAACATGTTAAAGATGAGTAATCCTTGGGGTTGAGGGAACAAATGTTGCAATGACTGCATTTGTGACCCGCTCTGTGCAAATGACACATGAAGTCAGTGACTGAGTTGCAGTCTGCATTAGGAAGAGCAAGCTTAGCTGTCCATATTGATGTATCGCTCCTGTTTGAAATCCTGATAAATATGGATACGGTGTGGTTGACTGGCTCTGGCTATTTATCATCCACATTCAGAGCAAGTTCCATTTCCTATCAAATCTTTTCCAAGACTTTCAACAAATCTTCTGAGCTAAAATCATTTGATAAATGTATCAAGAAAGCAAGACTTTGATATTTAATTTTTAAGCGAAGTACAAATTTCAATGTGGTTTGGGTCAAGACACAAACACAATAAAAGACAAAAGACCACAATTAAAAGTGAAATCACCCCGATGTGTAAATTCCATCAGCCATTCCTGAGCGTGATACCCACAGGTGTTTTGCACCAGAATGAGGCAGCTCACCCTTGTAAGCATGGTGATTTGAGTGGTTAAGGCATCTCCACTAGCAAGCTGGAGGTTGTGGGTTCGAATCCCACCCTAGCAAGCTTGTCATTCCTTCACTTATAACTCTATTCAAAGACAGCCTTGAGCATTCAGTTGGTGGTTGGTGATGACAAACTGTGCATTTTATCATGAACCGCTCACATACAATTTTTTGTATGTGATTTTTGCAACACTGAACCAAAACCACATCACCAATTCAAGGCAATGCATGCAGCATACTTGGTAAGCGCGTGTGACTCTAAGATTGGGACTGCAGGTTAAATCTGTGTGGTTCCCAAATGTTAGTTTTCCACCCAAGCGACACACAGTATCATCCTCGATGATCCTTCAGTTGCAAGATATTTCACCTGTCTCTCTTTGTTATCTGCAGTTGACATGTGGAGGGGAAAAGTCCATCATTGTGATAAGTCCGAATTCCATCGCGTGGAAACGAGTTCACAATGGAAATCTAAGTATGGAACCAGGTGAGGATTTCTCATGGTAAAATTGTTACGTCCCCAAAACAATTGCTGCACATGTTCATTTGCCATGCTGACACAAAAGCAAAAGCATACCAGTGCCACCTCCAGGTCATACACGTCGCCTAGGATAAATTATGTCACCACAGACGGCAAAGCCCATCAACAACATTTCAAAATATTTATTCCAACTGTTAAACATTAGTCACCTTTTACCAGGCAAAGCAGCATGAGGTGACTTGAGACAAAAATTGTCAAAGCACCGTAACATGAGCAGACACTGTACAAGACGAAGTGATGTGCATATACATGTGCCGGTATATCTAACTAGTGTACTCAACGGTTATTGATAATCTGCATGTACATGTGTCAGAATGCCACTACCCTACTGAGTGGGTCATTTCACCTGCACTTCCAAGCAGGACAACTTGGGTTCCAATCCACCTTCGCACTGCAAAACTTGAACCACGAAGCAGTCAGGCATGTTCACGTATTTGCTACTTTGATCATTGTGGAACTGTTTGCTAACCGCCTGTTATGTCTACTCACCTCCAGGTGATGGTACCCAGCCGGTGCCGTCTGATTGACAGATGTGGAAATATAAGCAATTAAGAACTCAAGATTTTTTTTATGACTGACAACGGAACTAACCGCTGCCGTGTTCAGCCGGGGATTTCCCAAACCATGCCTTCTTTGGACTTACATGTTTGATACCTTTAGAGCTCAAACACAGAACTTTAATAAAAGTTAAGTCCTTTTGTCGGAACCTGCACACACAAGCAGATGTTTACAGTCCTCAATGGTTCATTTGCTGCAGCACTTGTCTGCAACAAGTGTTGCGTAGAGACAGTGCTCGCATTGAAAAATGAGGACACGTAAGGAAATTAACAAGAGCAACGCTAGGCTTACACCTGTTTGGAATGAACAAATACATGGCATAAGACCCTGGTCATTCTGAAACACTAGTGTAAAGATAACGAGGCTATTCTCAACCCAATAGCTGTAACCATGTGTATAGTGAACTGCGTGTAAAACGAACGTCATAGTTCCACTGCAGGTGCTCACTACTATCGTCCTCACAAAGCCGTATCGGGGACATGGTGACAAACTCATCCCTCAAAGTCATATGTACAGGTCATAAGCTGCACATAGTAACATTCACAAGCTTTTCTATGATTAACACTCACAAATTGCATCTTTACGATTCCCAAGTGACGGGAGTGCAAGAAAAATAGTGCATACAACATGGAAAGTCATACATACATATACGGGTTATGATTCACGAAATCATGCATGTATGTTTGAGATATCAGTTGTACATATGACATATACAAGTTTATTTTAAATCAGAACAGAGTTTTTCACCATGTCTGTAACACAGCTTGTAGGGACCTGAATTTTTGGGAGGACACAGCATCTCGCCAACAACCAGGCCTTAAATTCCCTGACAAAATAACTGTCCCCTCGACACAACGCCCGCCCACCCACTTTGCCCTTGGCCACCATTTTGCAGTGTCGACATCACATTCTAGTGTTTCGTGATTGCCCACAGTGAGCCATCTACAGAGCCCAGGGTAGACTCAAACCAGCACCCAACCAGCCCGTAGTGCACATGTGCTCATCAGAGTGGCCTCCGTCTTGAGTGCAAACAGATGCCACATGAGGCTCACTCTGGAGAGGTTTCCCTTGACATCTCCATAACTACGAAAGGCCAACAGGTGAACTTTTTGTACTTAATCTTTTTTCTTCCCGTCTCCCTGAGTGGAGGACAGACGTCTGGTGTATGTGCCAAATGGGACATAAAGTGAAGCATTCAGACTTGTAGATATATTTGCATATTGTGCAACAGGTATACAAGAGGTAATTTAATCAGAAGTATACAGTTTTATTAGAAAACTTGCGATGTTCCTGTGTCGCTACAGATCTGAAATGAAAAGTCAAAAAGAGACATATAACCCAGAGCTTTCTGGCAGGATCACAATGCCTCAAAGATGGACAGGCACCTTGCATGTGTACTTAAGAAGACAGAGTAAAGGGCTGAAATTAATTTGTGTCGTGTACAACAGGGATGCAACAAGCAACATGCGGTCTGTAACTGCTGTTGCACTGCATTTTCGCACTGAAAAGTGAAAGCGTCCTTTTTTTTGGTCAAAAGTCTGAAAGATTTTGCACCTGTTGTGTGGCTGTGAGGTGGCTGTCAACGTGCATAAATTTCCACTTTGGAAATTCCCAAGAGAAGTCCACCCCATCGAGTTCAGCATCCACAGGTGCTATCCACCCCAAAAGAGACAGCACATTTTTCCAAGCAAAGGAGGCTCCTTTGATGTGGAACTGCACTTCGCCGGTTCACAAGTGACACTGACATGCACGCATTATGGCTCTGTGGCTACCAACAAAATGAACACTCCCGACCAACATGGCTCTTTTCAACCGACGAGGGGGTACTTCTGCTCAAAGTGGATAGGGTAATTACAAACCGTTCAGGAGAAGAGTCCATTTGTTGTCATCCAAGAAATTGGAAAAAAAAGAAAGTTAGGATTCGGGTCCTGTGTGCATACATGTACACATCACCTGTGTTTATATGTGATTCATGTACCTTGTCGGCGGTCTTACCTGAAGTCAATGGAGTTTTAAATGTTTTAGTACCGTTGAAAGAACTTGGGCCTGCACGACTGACTGCTTTGAAGGCATGAAACATATTCAAATGTCATTAGAAACAAAGTGTCATATTTCTGGCCATACTGCCTTCTGAACAATCACCAGCTTAAATCCATTTCTTACCAGTTCATCCTTACTTAAATGTTCAGTGGTTCCCAGCTTTCCCCCAACTGGCGTCATTCAGGTACAACACACACGTTCCAAGATTTTTGACATTGGAATGCTATTCTACGGTGACTACAAAGACACAGCCAGACATCACAGACACACATGCACTCAGGGACTATTCGGTGTGGACTCAGAGCAGAAATACTCCAGCAGGAGTGTAGGGGACACAACATTCCACGCACGAAGGAACTTTTCGTCGAGTCCATAAATATAATGTGTTAAACACTTCTACTCATTTACACCAACTCTATCTGTGAACCTCTTCTAACTCCCATCAGCAATCAAATTACTGCTTCTTACTTCAGCCATACATTCTACCAAGCCCCCACTACAGGAGAGGCAAGCTGCAGTGCACATGACAGTAATCTCGAGTAGAATACGGCTTTATAAAGTAAAGGACACATGCAGCTTATGACGGGGGGAAAAACTTCACCAACCATGCAGAGAATGAACATGCAGAGAAAGTTTCAGAAAAAACAGCTCAATCTTGGGATTGTGGAATAAATTAACTCGTGAATACAATTTTTACAGAAATGAGATTCCATTATTTAGGCCCTTACAGCACACTTGTATTTGTGTTAGCGAGTCATTTATGGTGTATATTTGCAGTGGGGAAAAGGAAATAATGTTGAACAGAAAGCTCCAAGATTTGTCAGACTTTTTTTCTCCAGGACACCGAAAACTGGGAAATAACCCTTACCAGTGGGCTATAAGGTCCATTTGCACGTACACACAGATTTACTGTCAATTCCATTTATCATATTCTGTCATCAAATACTACTCGCTACAAACGTCATAGCCCTTTGGGCTTCACTGTGTTGTAAATTAAGAAAACAAGCCTTCTGTTCTCAACATCTGACTTTATGTCAACTTTGCAGAAAAGTGAGATAGGAGGATTTGGACGCCATACACCAATCACAATTCTACAGGAAGACACTAGACAGCAATGTAGCACTAATACGGCCTGGCCACCAGCCTGGGTGGGGATTAAAGGTTAAATTCTTACCTCTAAAGTCTGAATTTATAAGAGCAGCAAAAGTACAATGCAACAGAGAGAAAAAAGGATGCTTAATTTGAAGCACTCTGTGTGCCTTGAATGAATTAATGTAATACCAAACAAATTTATGATTTTCTTTCTTTTATCCAAGGTCTTGATAGTACGGCAAATGACACAGTAATAGGGCCAATTAATTACCCCAATGTTAGTCATGTTTTCCTGATGGTTATAAATTTGTCAGTTTAAAAACTTCTGTATACTGGTCTATCCGCTCCGAGCGGAACTTAAAGAGGGCATGTTTTCTTAGCACTTACCGCATAGGTGCGCCGTGAGGCGCACAAGAATATGCGCGTTTGATGCGGAACACGATGAGTACGCGTAAATAATTTACTCCGCCATGTATGGTCTTTGCAGAATGCGTGCAAGAACCCGCTTGTAACCACCTGTCTTTCTTTTTGCCACTTGGGGGTGCACTTCAGCTCGGGGCAGATAAAGTGCATAAAAATGAAGGAATGTTAAGGATGAACTTTTTTTGTCATGGATAGAAAACTTGATTTGAGTCCATTTGATGGCAAATCTGATTATAGAAAATGAAACCTGCTCTGTAATCAGAATCCAGTCACATGGGAAAAAAAGTTAACATTTTACCCACAATTTGAAAGCTTTCATATTTGAGTATGGAAAAAACCTGGCATCCAAATTTTCACCAGACGAAAAGGCAAAAAATGCTCTTAGGCTTGCTGCAACCCGGGAATATCCTGAAACAAGGTCAAAGAAGAGGAACGCCAGCCATTTTAACATTTACAGGGGCAAAAACCTGCAGGACTGGGAAAGGCTTCTGCAGAAGTCCAAGCAGAACTAAAGGGTTAAAACTTTTAAAGTGACTACAAGCTGCCAGAAAGAAGGGGCAACATTTTGACTATTAATTGTAAACGCAAACAGCACAACGAACCTTGCGCTTCACGTTGCCTAAAACAAATGCTGGTCAATAATTATATCACCCTCAAATATGCTTCACTGAGGCCAATTAACCCTTAAGCAGATGGGGAGGGGGTTCATTTGTACCCCAGGAATCTTGCTAGCACAGCTAACTGACAACAGTTTATACGGAAGTTTACATGAATTAAATGGGTAGCTTTTACCTAACTGAGGTTGCCGTTCACCCATCACTTACTCCAGGCACATTTAGGTACGAAGAATACTTCCACCACTGGCTATGTGCTTCTTACCAATAGACCTTTTTCCTGTGATGTCACAATCGCGCTGGACTGCACTGTGTTGTGATGGTAACGAGTGCATAGTATTGTGTTGGTAATCTACTTATTCAAGATAAACTCGTCAAGCGTGCAGCGTTCGCACGTGCACTTGCACGTGGTTGCGAGCTGCCTTTAGGAATACATGCAATCACCGTGGCCGAGGCGGTCCACACTTGGTTGTATTGTTTACATTTAGCGCAATCCAGTCACATGGGCAAAAACGGTCTACACATGTGCACAATACAGTGCCAATCGAATGACCCTTGTGACACCATTTTGGGAAATCTCTTCGTCACATTTTGCCGCTTGTTGTATACTGCACTGCACTTTGCTACTCTGTCGTCAACTGCAATCATTTACTCGTCACTGGTTCCCACTGTACTTAATTTTGACATAGGTTACAAACCAACATTGCGAGCGTGCCCCGGGGCCCGGTTTCAAATGATTGGCTCGGTAGACCAACCATCCATTGTACAGGTGACGTCGTACAAACTATAACTGTAGTCACTGCTCAAAACTTGTCCTGTTCGGCAATCACACGTCACATTTCAGAGATTGACACGAAGCCAAAAGGAATGAAAGCAAAAAAAAAGGGGGGGGGGAGGAGAGATTTATCTTACCGCTCTCATCCTCGATGAAGCACTCGGTGGTGGTGAATTCGTGCTTGCCCACCACCACTTTGCCCTTGCTGTAGTGGGGCCCGTCCAGCTTGAGCTCCCGGCAGAGCTTGGCCAGAACCTGCGTGGGCTTCTCCGGGTCGCGCCAGATGTTGTAGCCATAACTGAAAAGTGTTGGGGATAGGAAGTTAGTGAGAAATATGCTGACAGGCACTGCTACCACAAATTTTGAGGTAGGGAGAGGCAGCTGGGCGACCATAAAATTGTTGGCAGACCATGTGAGGGCGAAGCGTACCCAGAAAAAATGTTGCATCTGGGTAGATTCTGATAGGTGAGGAGGTGGGGAGCATGGGTGTCACCAGGAATTTTTTCGGGGAGGGGGGAGCAATGGTCAATTCTGAGGCATTTTTCAGTACGTGGATTATTTCCATCTACTTTTCTCCTTTCCTTTCTGAGCTCTTCTACAAAAAAGTTCAGTATGGTTTACTCAACTGACATACAAAAAAACATTTTCACTACGTGAAGGCTTTTCCAAAGATCCCGTCAGGGCAGCATTCTGGACTTACATGGCGTATTCCTTACTGACGCCGCATGTGGCCCGGTGCCGGCTGTGGTAGCGGTTCTCCAGGTCAATGACTGTTTCACCAATCATATCATCCGAGCCGATCATGTCCCAGTCGTAGACCTGGACGGTCAGCTTGGACTCCAGGGGGAAGGTGACCTCAAACTCAAAGCACCTGAGAACAAGGCAGGAGTCAAATAGTATCTCTTTCCAGAACATCCCCAGGTGTCTGCTCTGAATTTCTGCTGTTCTTTGGTGGAGTATTATCCACTACATGTATTGAGGGTTTGCATGGCTGTCATCTTGCAGGCCAATGCTTTTATTCCATAGAGAATGCACAAAGAAGGTTTCCCTATGGAACAAAAGAACTGCCCTACAAGATGGCTACCGCACAAAGCCTCTATTAAATCAATTGCCACTGCCGCTATGCACTTAATGGCATATTAATGTTTTCAAAGCTGCACTGAAGTAACTGTTTTTTAATTTGCTTATGCATTTCTTAAACTTAAGTTAGTCTTGTGAAGGTGCTATCTCTTCATTCTATTGATATCGCTGGTAGACTACCACGAGTAAAATCTTTATCTGCCATTTTTCAGAGGAAGTGCTCGGGGGCAGTGTTGAGCCAGGTCAAGGGATATTAGATGCAAGACTCAGTTGCCAAAGGCTGCATTTTGGATCCTATGAAAGAAGCGTGGTTAGAATCTGGACTTTACTTGCCAAAGATTAGGTTCAGGATCTTGGAATGAACCAAAGACTGGTTTCAGGTTCTTGCAGGGACCAGGGTTAGATTCTTGGTGTCACTGCCAAAGACTGGTTTCAGGTTCTTGCCAGAGCCAGGGTTAGATTCTTGGTGTAATTGCCAAAGACTGGTTTCAGGTTCTTGCAGGAACGAGGGTTAGATTCTTGGTGTCACTGCCAAAGACTGGTTTCAGGTTCTTGCAGGAACTAGGGTTAGATTCTTGGTGTAATTGTCAAAGATTGGTTTCGGGTTCTTGCAGGAACTAGGGTTAGATTCTTGGTGTAATTACCAATGACTGGTTTCCGGATCTAGGAGAGGGAATCATTAGATTCTAGACTTACTTGCCAAAGACTGGGTTCAGGTTCTTGGAGATGTAGTGCTCCTTGTCATTAATTTTGTGCTTCCCAATCTGGGTGACTATGTAGGGATCCGCCTGTTGACAAACAAGGAGATCAGTGAAAACGAACGGCCCCAAAACAACACGAGTTTTAATGCCAAAGGAAAACTCTCACACGCGTGCATTCCTCCGAGTAAGTTCTACCCCTTGTGATTTCCACTTCAAATGCACTATGCTTTGGTTGTATCCAAAGTAGTCTCAGTCGCAAAATGTGGTTTTGTTTTCCTGAAATGTTGAGGAATTTGGAAGATTTGGGTAGCTTCTGATCAAAATTGGATTGAATTGTCTGGAGACTATTGTGATTTTTAATCTTTATAATCTCTGCTGTGACTGCAAGATAATGTGAATTTAAAGTCTGTGATTCCTTGGTAAAACTCCCAACTTTTTAAACTGTGTGTGTTTACAATAATTGTTTTCTAAAGGTCATACTCTTCTGCAACCTGTTCTATCAAGACTACATGTAAATTACAACTTAATGAAGATTTATATCAATCAGATCAGGTTGACAGGGTCGGTAAGTCATTGGTTGGTAGGCAGTGAGTCAGGTTTGGTCAGACTGGGTTGCTTCTACTCCAGTCCATCACTCTAGCAGTAAATCAGTCAGCCAGTAGGCACTCAGTCAAGTCAAGCAAGGCATGGTGCAGTCCTGTCTATGGGTAAGGGGGTGGACCAGTAGGTCAGTCAGTCAGGTTGAGTCAAGTCAGGTTCTAGATAGGTATTTTAGTCGGCTGATCCTCAATCAGTCACTCAGTTAACCAGTCAGTCAGCATTTAGTCAGGTTGTCTATCCATTCATCCATCACTTGGTCAGTCAGTCAGGTTGAGTCAAGTCAGGTTCCAGATAGGTATTTCAGTTGGCCAGTCCTCAGTCAGTCAATCAGTTACTTAGTCCACATTTAGTCAGGTTGTCTATCCATTCATCCATCAGTCGGTCAGTCAGTCAGGGTTGCTCATGATACATATAGCTACCTTTCCATTGACATCTGTCGGATGCAGATCCATAGCCTTGATGATGTACACCCGCACCATCACCCCCTTGGGTTCGCTGCTAGGCAGGCCTTGGAAGAACCCTGAATTGCTGTCAATCCGTACTCCGACGTCTTCCCATTCCGGTGGGAGGGGCCACTTGTACAGCTTCAGTGCTCCCTGTGGCCAAAAATGAACCAGGAAAAGTAACCTTACAGATTCAATCTGAGTAATCGACACTCCTCCAAAACGTCCATGCAAAGTGTGACCGGCTCTGCAAAAAGGTGTATTATGTCACATTTTTTGGGATTTGAGTTATATATATCATCAAATAGTTCACATCCTAAGCTTTCATTTGATATATAATTCATTCCAGTGGCATTTTGCATTTTGGAGTTATTTTCCATTTGCATATTCATATAATTTTATTTTATCACACATGCTTCTTCAGATAATGTCCTTTAAACATAACAAACAGAAACATTACACTTAAATTAGACTTTCTCTTCATTTTCCTTAGCAACTGAGTTTTGTAGTCAAGCAATTGGCATCAATATATTTCCAAATATTTAACTCTCGGCACATGGAATTGGCCATTACGCGTTTTTGCATTGCGCGACTTAATACATGTTTTTGCAAAGTGGGTCACAAAATAACAATATTCAAGTCTACACTCAAGTCCTTCTCTGAGCCCACCAGGAATACGCAGATACAGGGTGGAATTCATGTATAAAAACATTGGCTGCTTTGAAATGAGAGAAGTAGAACTAGTTTCATGTGGTGATTCTATTCAGGGTTTTAGTTTTCTGAAAGGATGATGATAGACAGCATACTCCCTGAAACAATTCAATTTCTGCACACTGCCGCCACAGGCATGCACATCCTCGAACCGGCAACTTGTAGACCCGCGTCAAAATCGTGTCAACACCGCTTTTGGATCACTGTCCGATCGCATTATGTAAGAGCTGACACAACATGTACAAAATTACTAAGCAACATAAACGGTAATCGCTGGACTGGCTGTATCTGTTGTGTAAAGCTGCTCCGCATGCCTACGGTGGCAGCGTGCAAAGACCGAATGGGAGGCAACTTTTACTGTGTCAGTGCTACGAGTTCAATGTGTTTTAATCACCACTCGATGCCCACTTCACACATATCCTACATTCATCAAACCTCAAACCTCTATTTAAAATTGAACCGAGTCTGACGGAGTCGTTCGCACAGTTTCAAACTTTTCCCCTGATAAGAAAAGTTTTCAGTTGACTCTGTTGCACAATGCCCGTGTGGAGTTGACCAAAGAGACGGCAGTACCACAGATTTCATTTGCACGGGTGCCTGCCTCTCAACTCATCTGCAAACTGACTCACAAGTGTGAATTTGGCACCTGGAAAAATGCCGGCTGCAAAATTTACCCAAACCGACATGCGATGAACTTTAAAAAAAAACAAACCTGCAGCAACGTTTGCTGCAATGTCCCAAATTTGTAGTCTTGTTCACTATCGAGCTGAATTTGGCCAGTTTGATGAAGTTTACCAACCTTAAATTTGCCAACCAGTCTACTGTCCCCATCGTCGTCCCCGGTGTTCTTGCCCCGGAAGAGGTCAAAGGTGTGGAGCCATTCCTTGAAGCCGTGGAAATCATGCACGCTCTCCAGCTCCGTCAAAAAGATCTGTGGATACAGACATCCACACAGACAAATGCATAATTGTACCATGCATTCCAAGAAAATGGTGATGGTAAACGCTGTCTATTGCAGACATGAAATGTCAACCAGCAGTACACATACTTGTAAAGGAGACACTTTCACCTTGACAATGTTTCTTATTTCATCTTATTTGGTTTTTGGTAATCCAGGGATATGCCCAAGTAAACAGTCGCAATGAAAACTGCGTTTACACCTTTTTCTGGTCTGATCACTGGCAAAATGTTCATTTCACTTTCAGATTTTGATTTCAAAGGAGATGCTGACAAATGCTGAGGGGTACCAATTTTTTTACCGAAAATTGGCACCAACTCACCTTGTGCCACTGTTAATTAATGATAGCCTCCTTTTGCTGAGAGTAATTGTAATTAGCTCTGCCAATAAGAACAACATTACCGTACAGAAACAAACTGAACCCACCTCAAAGGTCACACATTCAATGGTATCCTGTACAGCAACGGCGTCGTGATGTTCCATGAGAAAGAGAAGAAGAAATGATAAAAAGCTGTTATCAGAGTGTAAGATCTTGGGCCATAATAAGCAGAAAATTTGACCCAACTACCCACTGCTGTTAATGAACAGGGCTTTCACAGCAGAAGGTCACACTCAAAGTATGCCAGTGAGTTGTTATCACTCAAAGTGATGGCAGCCAAACTGATACGTGAGGCTCAAGTCGATGACGCAGCAAAGTGAGCTTGATTAAAACAAAATTCAGGAATACAAATATGGCCAGTAAACTGAATCTTTCCTTTCAGAGTTATCTTTTCTAACAGGAAACAGACAAACAATGAGATGAAAAAGTAATCCACTCAGATTTGAACCGTGGCCATCGTCAATACTTATCCCTTTCCCAGATGAGCCCCGGGCTAGACCAAGGGAAGGTGCAATTTTCCTGGCAACTCCGCAGACTCACTTCGCTCATTCATAAACGACTGTGGAATGCATGCACTAATCTACAAACATTTTTCTGTTTTAAATTACTTTCATGGAACTTGTTACTTTTTTGTGCCCTATTCTGCCTAGTTCTTGTACGAGTAAGGAAATAAATGTGAATTGACTTGAATTAAAACAACAAAATGAACACTCCCCATCAAAAATTGAACCCGGTTCTTTTCAATTGATGAGAGGGTGTTTCTGCTCAAAGCATATAGACCACCCATGAGCCAACTGAAATGGGTCTGGTTTCTTTCGTCTGCACCCCCAACTTCACATACATGTGCATGAACCATGCTAAAGCTGTTCCATATAACAAAATATCTCAGGGGTGTAAGGCTGGGGGATGCAGGGGGTGTGGATGTACCCCCTCCCCCGCCAGCAGAAGAGAGTTCTGCTTGAGGTGTTCATATTTTTTTATTTTTTAAACCAAAGAGCAGTATGTTATTTTATTAAGGCAAAAGCATGTAGGTTTTGATACACAATGACCGAAAAGTAAAACAGCAAATACATGTACCTGGGGCAATCTCCTTTTCATGTGCACATTAATGTCTTCGTGGTTTAAATGCTAAAAGTTGGAGTTCCACTTTCTTGAAAATCGCAACACCCCCCCACCCCTGGGCCAAACCAACCTATGCCCCTGTATATACCAGCATGCTTCAAAGATGGAAAAGCCTTGTTCATTAACAGTGGGGGGGAATCATGTGAAAAGACATATCCTTCTAGAAAAAAAGTTAAATGGAATAAATGCACATATTGCATGGGACTTAGAACATTTTCCAAACTGAAAAAATAAACAGTAACCATGTTTTCAAATTATACAACAAGAATTTACACCATTTATTCCGAAACTTGGGTTGACAACCGTAATATTCTGTACTGACTGTTGGAAGCTTTCAGTGGCTAAAACAATCACTTTTTGCATTAAGAACACACAGCAAAAGGGATTCATTTAACACTTTTGACAGAGTGCATGAGTGACAATTAGTGAGGAATACGGTGAAGGTTAATTCTAATATCTGGACAGCTAGAGTCCATGCAATGTGCCGTTGCGTGAATTCTATCAGCACTACAATCATATCCATGTTGATCATTTAGTTCTGGAACCAGCCTTATTGGCAATTAAGTCTTACTGACATCAATTAAAGGCGTTTAAAAAGGTTTTTGTTTTGGTTTGGTTCTGCTTCCTCCTTGGGGAGACTTTGGGCAATTTTAAAGTATGTTTCCCTCTTTTTCCTGCATTTGTGACCCTCTGAAAAAGAAGGATGAACTTTGGTGATCAAGTACCATATTTAGCAAATGAAAAACAAACCTTCCCAACATCACAATATTGTAAGACCTTGACCACATGGGCTTTTATATCCATTTGCGGAGCGTCATGGGTGGAGATCTCAGGGATGGGGGATATATCCCCCGACTTTTTGATGGGGGGGGTGTTACCAATATCATCACCCTCCCCCAACTTAACAAGTAACTGACTATACGCACCCTCAGCCTGCACTGCCATACTGGGCACCATCCCCCCTGGGATGGAGGCCGTGCTGAGCTTTCAGAAATCATCCCCACCCACCCCCAGGTGACAAGACACCTCTGCCCATTCTGTGCATGGTGAGCACCTTTCCAGGTTTAAACTGGAGCAACTTTAAAGTTATGTTCTTTGGAATTGTTTCTGACGGTGTTTTTTTGGAACGGTGTGAAGTGATGACTGTGCGATTCTTAGCGATGCAGTTATCAAGTGGTGATTGCTTGCAAGGCACTCGTGGCAAGCGGAATGGTGACTGTGCAAAAATTCAGCTTGAAGGGAGCACGCCAGTGAATGCTTCGACAACTATAGTGAAAACTGCAAGTAGTTCCTGAGAAAAGACTACTATAGTGAAAACTGCAAGTAGTTCCTGAGAAAAGACTACTATAGTGAAAACTGCAAGTATTTCCTGAGAAAAGACTACTATAGTGAAAACTGCAAGTAGTTCCTGAGAAAAGACTACTATCCAGTTTAATAAGAGACTCTTTCAAATTTTTGTAGCACCCTTGAAAAATATATTGAACCTCCAACTCCAACGATTCAGAATAACTCGCCAAAATACACATTTCTTTAATCAAATGCATATCTCTTCAAATTGGTTCATTACTTTCCTTCAAACAGAGTATGACAATTTTTCACCAATTTGGAAAACGAAAGTTATTAGTTCTGACAAACAACAGGGTAAATTGTGTCTTTCGGAAACAAAACACTACTCAACAAAAAAACGAGCCTCAGATGCAACTGCCTTCGCATGTGAACTTTTTCTACAACGCAAGATAACAGCAAAATGCAACAATCAAAATAATGCAAAAAAAAGGTGACAGGGCATGATGGCCAATTGCATGCACAAAGACACAGCATTCTCAATCCACAGTGAAAACTACAGCAAAGCATGGCATACGCAGATGCTGAACACTGTTAAAATTCCTTACCTTATCCTCCTCCTGGGGTTAGAATGGCAAGGCATTACACAAGAATGAGGAAAAAAAACAAACAAACACACAGGCATGCAGGGCACATTAGCAAAGATGCATTAAACCGCATGTACAGAAAATGAAGAGCATTGGGAACTTGGCCGGGCACTGTCTTTCCTCCTCTGTAATTGGGGACGTAAAATGGGTGATTTGCAACTGAACAGAAACCAGTTTAGTAAAACAAAAACAATATTGGGAAGACAACTTAAACATTGTCATTCCTGTAGCAGCCTCTTTATTCTCTCCTGTAAATGCTGTGGGGTTGAGGTATTGAGGTTGTAGGAACACGTACTCAACAAATTTTTGTTGTGTTCAATTTCAGTACTTCTAAACCGTAGATGAAGGGAATCGGCAGCACTGATTTCAGACTTCTGAATGGCTGATCCATCTGAACTTGGCAACAGAATGACATGGAACATGGGTATATACATGTAGTGTTCTTTTCATTTTCCTTATTTTGTCAATTTGGGGGAAATGTGCAGGATTTAAGGGTCAAGCACCATGATTGCCAAGATGAAGGTTTAATAATGACTATGAGAAAAACTGCCCCTTCACCACTGCTATTCCAAACAATGTTTACTAATCCAGCACAGACAAAAGGAAGCAACAGGCACTTATATGTACCGATATTCCCTGTTACAAGATTACACGTCAGCCTTTTAAGCATTAGTACTTTGAACAATTAGATCAGCATGCAAAAGCTCTGAACAAGACTTTTTTAAACAATTATGGATCACTTTCATAAAGCAAATATACACAAAAACAACGGAGGACGGGTCTCCTTCAACAATTCTACGCATTTTGTGGCTCAACCTTGCAAACAAGTCGCAAAAACTACTTTTAAGTTAAAAGCACTTCAACCGCATCTTAAACTGCAAATCACTCGGTTTTGTATTCCAACAGAAGCATGTCCCAGGCAATTCAGGAAGGCCTGCCATATCAAAAAGTCAAAACGCCAACTCGCCCACATGCTTTTGTTCTCAAACGACCCGGACTTTTGGAAATACCAGCTCAGATCATTAGGCTACAAAGGCTCTTGGAAGATGTCCTTACATTTTAGAAATAGCTTGTAACACAAGATCAGATGTTTGAATCGCTATTTGCACTACTGCTCTGGTTTTGCGGGTGTGAACCATTAGCATACCCACCCCATTTTAGAATTCCTAATCCATTCTGACATTCCAAATTTGAGGCCATCAGCTTTTAATTTCTTGCTCTTTATAGTCTCCAACTCACTACAATCCACCAATCTACTCACACCAGCCCTCAGCTACCCTTGGAACCTCGATCATGGGCAGCCATTGTGCTTTTCTACTACTCAAAGCCATGTAACCGAACTGAGGCCGGATGGCAAAATAGCTTTATCAATACGCGAAGTTGCATTACTGTTGCCAATGGGTCTACAGGGAACACGACAAACATGGCGGTATCATGATAAAGGGGAATGACTCACGTCAAACATGTTCATCATCAGGCTGTCCTCGTCGTCGTCCTTCCGGCGCAGCTTGTTCAGTCCCGCCTTCATCTTGCTCATCTTGCTGGGCCCGTTTTTCTCCTCCTTGGGCTTCTCTTTCTTCTTCTCTTTCTCCTTCTTTTTCTTCTGGTCCCCGGCCGGCGGAACGTCTGCACACGGGCGTGTCGAGGAGAAAAGAAAACCAGGATATGTATCAAAAAAGGGATGCACCGTGGCTTGACCACATCTCAACTTCCACCTCGACACGACATCTGCTCCCAAACTGTCGCCAAATGCTGCGCGATAGAACCGTTGGTTATGTGCGTGATTCAAAGCCACGGAGCACATTCGCGCTCGCGTGCAAACAGCTTTACGGTCGCGTAACGACCTACGTGTCTTACGGTGAGAGAAACTAAACAAGTTGAAGTATTATGAATGTCCAGTCTACTACCACATGCACAAACGATGGCAGCGGAACAGTTCTCAAAGTGGAAAGGGCCAGTTGTGAGACCATCAAACATCAGTCATTAATAGGCTGACCCATTAAGCCCTACCCCATTATAGCACCTACAAAATGCGGGGGGACATGCCCCCTAGTCGAAAAAGTGCGGGGGGGGGGGTCACTGGCCCATTGCTCCTCCTTCCACTGCAAGTGTGCGCAAAGTTTGAGCATGATCTGTAATTCAGTGTCACAAACTAATAATCTACATGGAACTTGTACAAACTATAATCTCAGAAGTTGGCTTCTGAACCATTTGGTCCAATGTCTAATGATCTCATTTAGCCTGGTATCTAGTATTCTTTCCAATTCCAGATTGTAAAGTTGGCTTCGGGAGGCAAGACCAAGATGGCAGCAATAATAGGCCTCTGATAATAACAAGTGCTGGAGTCGTGGCAAGTGACCACATGTGACAGGGGATGAACAATGGCAAAAGAAAGTCTTTGTCATTGTCCAGTAGATTGTGTCCAAAAAAGACACGATTTGTGGTTGGCTTGTGACAGACTTGACAATAGTACTGATCTGCTTTGACTACATGTATTTCCTTTTATTAAAAGGTTAGAAAGTCAAAGGTCAACTCATGTTAAACACGCCTCAAACTTAGTGCTATACACCAGCATACAAATTCCAGAAAAAACTGCTATGGGTTAGTAAAAAGCATTCTTTAACTTGCCTGGTGCAGTAAATAAATACCTACTTCATTTGTTTGAAACTGTCATTTATCTTATTTGTAAAAATGAATTGAAAAAGTAACAGTTTTGTAACAGTTTTGAATCCTCCACTTTTCAGTTTTAAAACTGACACCATGACTCCAAAGGAATTCTTGAAATAGCGAAGTCAAAAAAGCCAGTCAAAGTTACAATACAGCTTTGCTAAAGCAGTGTCAGTAGGTTGGAGAAAACTCCTGCTGGATTGTGAAAAGAGAAGATAATATTCCCTGTAGGCTACTTAAAAAGCACCCTAACAGTCCCAAATCCTCCAATTTCAATATGATTTTACATACACCCTAGGGGGTTGGGGTTAAGATCAGTCAGATTGGCAATTCACAATTTCAATTTTTATGAAATTTAGTTATATTCTAAACAATCTAATAGGTATTTAAAAAACTAAATGAAGGTAGCTACTGATGTCAAAAGCACAAGTTAAAGTACTCCATCAGATCAGGCAAACTGAAAATGAAAGCCATGGGAAGTATCCAGCAGAAGCCTGTTTTGATGACATCACACTGCGGTTCTGCAGTTATATGACTGTTTCATTATTTCGGGGCGAACGCGACTGCTTACATGAGCGCTGTGCTTACTGGCACTAAACTGTGAATTAAGAGAGGTCAGGCAGTGAGAGTGACTGGGAATTGCTTTTCCATCGACAATATTGATCAATACCGGATCGTATGATAAAGTTTAACTGTCCCAATTTGAACCAGAGTAAGGTCCTGATGAATTTCAGGCAGATGGCCATGGTCATTTGCCAAGAATGACCTCTTATTTTAACCCGTTTTTCTCTGTTCCTGTGATACAAAGCCCCTATTATGGCTGCAAGGTCAAGAAACTCGAGACGAGAGAGCAATATTATAATATCATCAAATCATTTGATTTGTTTGCCGCCCTCATCGATGCATTTTTTTTCTCTGAGCATTCTCGTGGTGGAACCAAACTCCCAAAATGACAATTTCTTTACAAATGTGAAGAGAAGCTGATCCATTAGTCATGATACAGTTAAAAATGACCAACTCCCTGTTAAATAAATGTGTTATGTGAAAGCAATGTGATTGATCTTTAAGGTCAAAGCCTGTGAGAAATATGATTTTTTAATCACTTGCCTTTCTCAGCTGGTTCCTCGATTTCCCTTTCCTCTTCATCCTCCATGTCTGGATTGATCTCGGTGGCACCCTGGTTCCTGGCTTCCAACTCATTCAACTCCTAAACATGGTCAGACGTGATGCAGTTACCAGTCTGCATGAGTACCAGACCTACTAACAGCAATAATGGCAGGGGTGTATAGAGGGTTTGCATGGCTGCCATCTTGCAGGCCAGTGCTTTTGTTCCACAAGGTGCATATAGAGTTTCCATGTTTAACAACAGAACTGCCCTGCAAGATGCCTACCACGTAAAGCCTCTACAGACCCTTCTTTTGTTACGTCACAAGTGCAGATTTAGCTGACCACAGTTGGCAAAAATATGGCAGGCCGTGAGTACAAAACCCAAAAATATATTTGCCAAGGGTCAAAAATTACCCAAATACTGATGTTCCATCTCTAAATGATAAATATTTCTATTGAAGTCTTCATAAAAAATTCATTCTGCTTTAAGAGTCAGTTAACAAAATGTGTATTTTGAGGTTAACTTCGTTGATTGTGCCAAAAGAGTACGTTTTGTACAAATTGGCCACCCATACAAAATGGTGGTCAATGTTTGTAAACAAAAGAAAGGTCCATACAGCCTCAGATGTATGTCTGCATGCAGTCTTGTCTAGCTACTGACCTTCTCCAGGGCTAGTTTGGAGGCAAAGTATTTGGACCACCAGTCCAACGTGCTCTCGTCTGTCTCCTCTGGCTTGTCTGTCTGGATGCCCTCAGCCGGAGGCCCGCCGGGAGCGTCAGCCTGAGAGAATGGATCAACAGAGGTCACCGGATCAAAGTGTATTCATCACCGACACTGTCAATTTTATAATCTGCAGAAAAGTAACTCTCCAAAATCCTAAGCCTTTCACAGAATCTTGAAATGAAGAACTGTACCTTTTATTATTAGGGGTATATAGGAGTCCCTCTCTATCAACTTTTAAAAAGGCATAAACCTTTAACCCTAGACTACCTTTCATTTTGTATTAAAGAAACATCTTGCAGAAATGGAGGTTGGACAGAAAGTACAATTTAAATTAATACATGTGGTATGCTATACACTCAGTGGAGGCACATCAGCATTTTCTCCACAAGGCAATTACACCCTGCCCTTAGGGGAATTTTTTTAAACACTCCTCAGTCCTCCAACAGGTGAAGGATTGAGGAGTGTTAGGGTTAATGCAAAGAAACAAAGTTAATTCCAGTATTCATCACATAAGACATGCACATCTGGGATGCTCTTTCTTCACTCACACACTATGAAATAAATTGTGTGAATGAAATGGAAATTGTCCCGGATAAGACTATTTTACCACAGTCACATTCAGGATGAATAAAAATGCAAGTAACATGGTTTGAATCTCACTCCTAAATGTTAGCATGCTAGAACAGGAATATTGAATCGGGTTTGATCAATAATTACACTGATTATCCACATGTTGCATTATCTAAAGTGAAAATGTCAACCAGACCTTAATGTCAAACGAGTGACTACTGGATGGATAATTGTATGTCAAAATGCCCTAACAAGTGTTATGGAACATTACAAAATAAGTAAACAAAACCAACAGTTATGTATTCCCAATTCAATCCGCACTTCAAGATTTGATCATAAGGCATTACTGTGCAAACTTTAATGTTGTTTGCTGAATTTATTCCTCCTTTTGGAAGGGAAAAGGGGCAGGCCTACATGTTGCCACCCCAAGCCCAAGCCCTAATTCAACTTACCCAAGACTTAGTCTGATAAGCAACGAGTGGTCACATTGTGCAGAAGACCGTAAGCGGTGGGTTTAAGGTGGTGGGTTCAAGGCGGTGAGTTCAAGGTGGTGAGTTCAAGGTGGTGGGTTGGAAAAAGGGTATAATGTTCAGAGCGAAACCAAACACCAAAGAACAGCACAAAAAGAAAAGGTTATAAAATTTAATACATGTACACATTTAACACCACCATCGAAAGAGACAAATGCTGAAGTTGCCAGTCCAGTATTGCAATGGGTTCGCACAAAATCAAGTGTGTCCAGGGAATTTGGGACAGGAAATAAGCAAATTGAAGACTGGCTTCCTCTATTGAAAGAAACATCTGGACACTGCATTCACCAGTTCAATATTCTAACAGCTCATGCACAAAATAAGAATAATACATGTACATGTATATGTCACAGGTCATTTGGGATAACGTTTAACCAAAAATTCGAGATTGGCCCTCTCAGCTTGCACTGAATACGTTGGTGCAGCTTTGAAGTCATGTGTTTTTATCCCTAATGACCTTGCCTCATTGAAATACTGAACTGGCTTTAATACACATGCATTAAGACACAGGTAACCAGTTAAAACACTTCATGATCTAATCTGAAACAAAGGATTATTAACACATCACACATCATGCATTGACCCTACACTTGATGTCTCCATCCACTGCGTTCTGCATGCAGTTCTCATTCAAGATGTTCCATACAGCCCCCCCCTTCATCACCAGTGCAGTCCATGCATGGAAGAACATTTACCCTTCACTCAACAAACCCACTATAGACCTGTTTCACCCACGTGACTGGATTGCACTAAATGTAACAATACCACCACTACGTGTGGACCGCCGTGGCCTCAGTGATAGCATATATTCCTACGGGCAGCTCGCAACCACGTGGAAGTGCACGTGCGAACGCTGCATGCTTGACTAGTTTATCTCGAATAAGTAGATTACCATCTCAACACCATCCACTCATTACCATCAAAACACATTGTGGTCCAGCACGATTGTGACATCACAGGAAAAAGGTCTATATGGCATGAGTACCACCAGTGCATTGCTGAAGAAACCCTCCAAAAGACAGAAGAAATTGTTGGTAAGAATATATATAACGGCAGCTTCCACCCACAGTTCCAACACATAACTAAAACATATGGCACAAGTAACAAAAGTGAACAGTAAACAGCAACTACACAAACAGCAAACTCTCCATAACTTGAACCTCAGGGGAATGGATGAAAAATCTGGATTTCGAGCTAACGAAAGTTCCTGAGCCTCTGTCTTTTATATTTTTTTACATAAAATGTTCTGCTCTACTGAGACATAAAACATAAACCGACAAAACTATGTACTTTCCGTAAAAATTTTTCCAGCCCTGTGCTTGCTCGCTTGGCCGGGGGCCGCAGCTGGGCCAGGGGTTTTCCTGTTTGGCCAAATGATCACTCTTTTTTAATAGCTTGAGGGTGCATCATTTTGAATTTCAGAATGTTTGAGAGTAAAATTTTTTGCTTTTAATTTGCGTGTCTTTGTTTGTCTTTTCATTCCCTTACCTTTCCTTTTTAAAAAACTGGGAGTGGAGTTTGGCTACATACAACAGCATTTCCAGCACCACACCAGGAATGCATGTCAGTCAGCATGATTGCGAGTGGCATGCAAGACTGCAATTGGGCAGGTGGCGGCAGCCAGGCTTAAGCCGCGGCATGCACAAAGTTTCCTTTACTGCAGTCACATGGCCACTGTAAAGAATCAACGAGTGGACTGCGTGCATGTGGGCTTCATTTGGGCCGCAATGGCAATCAGGCTTGCTTGAAAGCTGGGATTTGTTTAGGTTGTAGTCCGACAAGTTGATTACAATGGCACTGGCAGCAAGCACGCTCGTATCCTCACACAAAAAGGCGAAGTGTGGTTTGCAGAAATGACTCCTAATAAAAGTCTCCGCGTTCTTTTTCCACTCATCGTCAGCAATTTGGCGGCAGTCTTTTTGGATCGGCCCTTCAAAAACTTCGAGTTCAGTGGATGTAGTTACAGGGGCATTTTTGTACATAAAAGCCTCTTCTTTGGGCGGAAATGAAGATTCCATTGTCTTTGAGATAATCAGAGTTTTGAGTTGACCAACTGTGAGTTATGGAGAGTTTACTGTAGACTTTTTTCCGTGACTCCTGTAGCCACAACCTCTAATAATCAAAATGTCATATTTCAAAACCCCTCAAACCAAAATGTGAGAAGGATGAATCTCTGCTACGATCACATGCATACAGTACACACACACAACTGGGCTTTGGATGTTTCTCTTGTATATGGGGAGACCGAGACAGTAAGAACTTCACAAAAAGTCACAGTAGTTAAGCAACAGAAATGAAAAATGATAAAGTGATCACTTGAATAAAGGAACAACGCAAGTCCCATTAGGATAAAAAGCATACCACCAAACAGGCACATAAAGGGGTAAGGATGAAAAACAACTTCATTAGAAAAAGTCATGCTGTATTTCAAATCTGTTTGATTTTTGTTGATTTTTCCCTGATTGGCTTACTGTACCTTTGGCTGCCCGTCTGGTCCCAGCTCTGCCTTCTCTCCCCCCTCCAGAGGTTTGGACTCGTCCGGCTTGCTGCCATCCGGCGGCATGTCGATCACAGTCTGGCCCGGCTGCTGGGCCTCACCATTCTCTCCCATGGGGGGCTCCACACTAATGACGATGTCTTCGCCCTTGACCGAACCGGCCTTGGAGCCAGCCCTTGAGGGGACTCTAGAGGCTGCCCTAGATGGTGCGCGGGATGGTGCACGCGATCCCGGCTTGCCGTTGTGCTGACTCCCACTGCCGCCCACTAAAAGAGCAGGTGCCCCAGCCAGGGCATTCCCGTTCAGTTTAAGGGGAAAGCTGGTCAAACTGGGGAGTGTTGAGTGAGTGGGCTCAGCCTTTTTTCCAAAGTCCATTGCAGCAATTACTGAAGAGAAAATACATTTGAAAACAAAATTCCATGTGAACATCAGTGAAATGTGGAAGAGTCCTTCTCCAAATACAGCCTCATTTCCCTATGGGTCATTCCGTGAGGTTAAGGTACAGTTTCTGACGATGTCCATTGTTACATGGGTTCCGTAAAAATGAACAGCTATTTCCCTGCATGTGGATTCCAAATTGACATTGTTAAATATCTTGCAAGGCTGAATACAGAGGTGTGTGTTATTTTTACAGTGTAAATGACCTACTCTACGGGTTATGACAGGTGGTAAAAATTTTGGATTGTGTCCCAACCTCATGGAATGACCTCTGTACAAAAGAGAGCCCAAACGCACATGGGATCAGTTATGAAACCATATGAACGGTTTGTTGCAACTAACGCAAACATGGACATAGAGAGATGGGAAAGCTGGAGCTGTTCAACCATTTTCAACGGGTCAACCGTGAGATGCCACACAGAGAAGGGTGTACACTATAGGCTCACACTAGTCTGTGGAGGCTGGGCATTGCTGCTAATAAATCAAAAAAATGACTATGGGTAAGAGACGTTGCATAAATCTTGAAAAATAGGTTTGCAGCTACACCGTGGAATCAATCCCTTTGGTTCTTCTCAATCTCTCAAGGTGTGGTTCTTAAAAGAACTGGTGAGTTTCAAGAAGCACACCTCGCCCAAAAGAGATTGATTCCATGGTGCACTCAGCCTATTTCTCATGTCTCTTCCACCATACAAAGCTTCAGATCTTACTCATGAATCTTGAACAAATGACCACCAAGGGTCAGCATTTGCAAATTAAGTCCAACATTGTAGTGGACCTTGGTCGTGGTACCCTGTTGCTTTAAAACGTCAAAGGTTTTCAGCCGAAAGTAATACCGCACCTAGGAGGAGCTCATTGAGGAATAATACCATTGGCAGGTGTTTAAATAAGAACTATTCAAACTTAGTAAAATTTGAGGCCCTCACCTGCTGTGGGCAGGGTGTGAGCCTGGGACTCCAGCCTCTTGGTGTCCATCTTGTAGCTGGCTAGATTGCTGACTGTGTGGGTCCCTACCAGCGTGAAGCGGCCAAACTGACGGCAGTCCACCACCCGTATGGTCAGGGGAGGGCAGTAATGCTCGTTCTCTGGCAGATCCTGGTAGAAATAAGAGAGAATTTCTGAGTACCGCAGAGAGAGATTCATTTTGACCCTTGGAGGCCCAACATTCATATATCCTCAAGGAGTGAAATATACTTGATGACAGAATTATTCAACCTGCAAAACATTTCGTATTCTATTTATAGTATGTATTTACACAGCAAAGATATCCATAAGTAAACTGGACCTCAAGGCACTAATAAATATCATACCTGCTCACTGAGCCAATTAACATTCCTCAAACAATATATGTAGATATTTCAAATCTCTGATTTGATGTCAATGCTGTTTTGATGTCAATGTCAACTATATCAATGCTGTCATTTTGCATTTTGAAGCAGGTGCATAGCTAATCACACATATATATGTATCTTTAATCTCTGCTCTTGCAAGTACACAGTTATGTTTGAAACCCTGACCCTACAATTGGGAGTTGCAGAACCTACTATTAAACTATGCCCCTCTCTTTAACACTCTGCAGTTGTACAAGGCCAAACTAATATTGCTTGATCCAGCGCTTTCTCTGAATATCTCACTTTTGTGCCTAGCACTCTTTCCAACGAGGTCAGATGGGTCCTGAGCTTACCACTTCCAAGAAGCGGACATTGTCCGGGAAGTTGGGGTTCCGGCCGGCGTTGTAGATGATGGCCGAGCTCAGGACTTGCCCGCCGCACTGGATGTCACAGCGAGGCTTGTCCACTGTCATCAGCTGGAGGCGTTTCATCTCACGCACACCCCAGAACAGCACCTGTACCAACAAAACCAGCCTTAGTTTACTGTCACAATTCACCTGCTTTGGAGAGTCGGGTTGGTGTGATGGTTCTTTCCTCACCTTTTCCACCTCTACAGTCTGGGTTCAGTTCCCGGCTCCATCTACATCTTGATTGGGTTTTTCAGTCCCTACCTGATTCCATGGGTGGATATCCCAGGGAAATGGGGAGATATATCCCCCACTTTTTGCCTTGGCGGGATTATCAATAATCACCCCCACACACAGTGTGTATTTGCCTGCAACTGGGGACCCCATATTGTTCCTCNAGTTGTCAATCGGGGACCCTCTGTCAATCTGGGACCTTATTGTCCTCTATTGTTCAGGGTCGCCAATTGAATGCAGAAATAAACTCATGAACACACTTTTCAAGTCACTGACATTATGTGCACTTGTAGCCCCCCCCACCGAAATGGGACCTTGGACCCTGTTCTGCGTCACACTCCCCACAAAGACAACTTTTCAGAAATCATCCTCCCCCAACACTGTGACAAGAAATCCCCGCCCACGCCTGATTCTGTGTGCTTTAACCAGAGTATTCCTCTAGGATTTCCCTTCCACCTCTAAGGCCGTGACTGCTTCTCACTGTCTCCTCTCAGCAGGTTTCTTCTGGCTTGTGAGCTGCAGTGCCTATGGCCAATTTGAGGAATCCTCGGTGTCATTACCAAACACTGCAACAATAATAACGGTTTTTGGCACCACTGCCGGGCAGTGGCCAATTGGATGCACCAGCTCCACAGCAAGTTTTTTAATTTGCTCATCAAGAAATTACTTGGGACTTGTGGGACACGTAACAAATGACGAGTATCAGCAAAGCAAAAAACTGTACTGACAATATGGCTGCATCCAAATCTCTTATCTAGAGCTAGGTCTAGGTCTTCGCTCCATTGGAAATGCGAGGAGATGCGCAGACAACAGACCTAGCCGTAGCTCTGGAAGCCCGTTTCAGACACGGCCTAAGCCTTTTGCGAGTTAACTTTGACCCAAATCTGGTGCACTGAGTTCTTTAAATACACGTGAACATAACAATTTGAATTCTCCATACTAAAACCACTATTCCTTCACCTCGTGATTTGGGGCAAGCTTATGCTTAGTTACATTAGAGATGCCTTGCAACAATACACACTGTTCTCAATGGATAAGAAGGGCACAGAGAAACCCAGTCCATTCCAGAGATGGTGGTTGCTATGGAAAAGCTTACCCAAATTACGAGGTATAGCAACGGTATCTTTAGTCTGTTGAATTCAAATCGTTATGTTTATAAGCAGTCAGATAACTCAGTGCACCAGATTTTATTCAAATTTAACTCGCAAATGGATTATTGTTGAGTGCCATCTATGATGTAGACCTAAAGATGTCATAGTGTTTGTTGAGAGGGAATGTAATCATACGTGCAACTTATTGTGACAATCAGCAATCAGTTGGGGTAGATTGCCAGGCTCGCAATCCTGACCACATGCACGTGTTCAACAGACTTTTAAAGATGACAATATAGTCAACGAGACAAACAACCAAGAGAGCTCACCTCAATCCTGTACTTGCACATCTTGGGCCTGATCTCCACGGGTAGCTCTATCTTGGGTGGCAGCTTGTCTTTGCTCTTGGGGTCCACAGGGGGCACCTCGATCTTGATAACATCAGACGGGATGCCACCCGTGGGTGTCAACTAGAAACAAACAAAAAAAGTCAATGCATATTCATGCAAGACTACTAGTGTTTCCTCGAATAGGTGAACCAAAAACAGTGCAACACGTATTGAACAATTTACGGTTCACAGATTGAGAACAAACAACTGAACTAACTCATCACAATGGTTGCAATGCCAGCTAATATACAGTTTATCAAGGCTGATGACAGACATTTATGGCCAAATTAAAAGCACGAGATTATCGTCAGGTGCCAGCTGGCCGTCTTTGAGGAAAAAAGGCAGCAGAACTTTTTAACAGTATTCAAATACTGATTGGCTGAGGGTGGAACAGGAAGGAATTTTATTGCAAGGGAGAATCTGGACTATTCCATTTCACAATGTGAAACCAAGTGAAAATGGAAGAGTCCAGATTTGACTGTGTAATTATATTCCTCCCGTTCCACAATTTAAAGTCCCTCAGCATTTGTCTTGCATAAAACTGGCATACAGATTAGAGTCCATTGCACTGACTTCCCTGACTTTTTCTTCCACTAGAACCCATGACACAGTTTATCAATTTAAAATGTAGATCGGTGCGACAAATTTTCCAGTGCTACACAGAAAATTGATGCCATAAAAAGTGCTTGACTTAATAAAATTTGTCACGTTTTCAGGTAAACAAATCACTTCTCTGAGGCTAAATGACTAATCTACAAAATCAAAATTCAGAATAGGTCGGTCCTCATAAATTTAATAACTATTAAGTGACTTCCGTTTTTACACAGTAACCCATGGCTCTTCTAGCCCTGGAAAATTGAAAATCAAATTCCATGACTTTTTCAGGTGTTTCTGCCAAGGCTATGTGAACCCTGCTAATACCAGCCATCGTCTGAAATCCACAGATCCATTCTACAACAGCAGAAGTGATTTCTTTTTCAATCCAAAACCCCAAACAAAAATTCAACGGCAGCACCAACAGCTACTGGGCTCACCTGGATCATCTCGATGGCGGCCAGCATCTCCCCCGCCTGCGCCTGGCCGCGGTAGATGCTGTGCCATTGCAGCAGCGGTGGGAACATGGGCTTAGCGTAGGGCTCATCCAAGCACTTGACATACGGTAGGACCAGGGAGCGACCTATGAACTCGGCGCCTCCCTGTTTGAGATGAAAACAGAATTCCAGTGCTCCAATCAAAATGCACACTTCGTTCATACAATCGCACACACGTTTGTCAGCCTCCAGGGAAAAGGTCATACAAAGCCCTGTCATTTGAAACCACACTGTTTAAGAAAACTTGTGGTAGATGGATTTTGCTGTTGTCACTCATTTCTACACACACTGACAACACAACACAACAGATCAGGAGAAAGATCATATTAAACATAGACAATTAGTACAAAAAATTAATTAAAGAAACCTTTTATGGACCAAATTTTGCCCTTACATCATTAGCCAACAACATTAACTGTAAGCCATGTAGAGCCGGCGACTTCACCTTTAAAAACAGCCTTTCATTGTGGGTGTTTGTTCATACGTTTACGATACAAATTGAAGGTAAACTAATGCATGTTTGGAATCGATACTGCATAGATCACTTCTCATTTGAAGTTTTAACACAACAGAATTGTCCGCTTGAAAAAACTGAAACGAATAACTATTATACGACACTCATTTCAAACTTTTTTGGGGAAAATCATGGGTGCAACTTCTGAGAAAAAACTTCTGAGAATGTGAAGGTATTCAAGGTGAAACACATCACACATCACATCACATCTTGACAGCTGCTAGCAACAAAAAGATTACCTGAATCTGTGTTCCGTAGAAATGGCATTACAATAAGTAAAAAAGACAAAAAAAAATGTTCAACAGTTAGTGAAGAGACAACAGGGTACGTTAGAATAAATGCTGACCGGGAAAACGCCAGATATTTTTCCCTGTGGGCTGTACCATTCATAAGAATAGTGTACCTTATCAGTTTAATATTGACTCAAAAAGATTGATCACAAACAAAAGGATCATTACGATGAAGTTGTAAAGACACGTGCAGAGGGTTACCTTAATGTTCTCAAGATTCATGTACTTTAACCAATCCTCCCCCACTTTATAACAGCCTGTTTGCACGAATGGGGAGTAACAGAATTCCAAGCGTTAAGAAATATAATATCGAACACAGTGGTTTCCCGCGGGGCAGTTCATACTGAGCTGGGACATGCGAGACAGTGCGCTCCCTATGGCAAATCTGCCCGTCTTGTTAGGCATGATGTCAAAGACCAGCTGGGAGATGAAGTGAGTGAGTGGACGTGGCTTTGCTATGCCTTTGATTCTTTGCTGTTGTCATCATGTAAAGTTCATTAATATAATTGTTTGCATTCTGAAGAGTTTGTGCTTCTTGGGTACAAGTACAGTGTATATGTACAGTATCCACCCTGAGCTATAGTGCACCCCCAATCAGTGAAAGAAAGACAGGTGGTTACAAGCGGGTTCTTGCACGCATTCTGCGTGTACACAAAGACCATACATGCCGGAATAAATTAGCTACATGTACTCAGCGTGCTTTGCGTCAAACGTGCATATACTTGGGCGCCTCATGACGCACCTATGCACCGACTACCAAAAAAAACCTGCCCTCTTTTGTTCCACTCGGAGTGGATTGTGCAGAGTACTGCTTTCCATCACCCAATACCACACTTCTGCGTAAACAGACGCCTAAACTGGAGAGCTGAAAGGACTTTATACACAGACCATATAGTTTCTTTGAACACAGAATTATAAAATGATTTTTAAGGCTGACTCCTGGCCTTTTGGGCCTGTTTGTTTCAAACGGATCTGGATCTCGATCACTGTGATCCGAAAGCTGGTTTGCTTAATACCTTAGACAGGTTCTAGTGGAAAGTCAACCAGTGCCAGATCACTGATGGCGATCCAGATCCACGTACAACAAACAGAGTCTCTGAGTTTAGTCATGTGCAACACTTTTATCTACAAGTATAATCATACTCTCAACCTGACCCTCCTCAAAAACTGGGGCCAATTTCATAGAGCTGCTTAAGCACACAACTTGCTTAAGCGCAAAAAAACCTTACTGGATAAATCAGGTAACTAGCCAAAATTCCATGTGATGTACAGTGTTTTGGGATCGTATTTAGCTGTTTTTTGGTTAGCATGACAATCAGATAGAGTTAGAGCTGGGTAACCTTTGTTTATTAAAAAAGTTTCTTCCCGCTTAAGCAAATTTTGTGCTTAAGCAGCTCTATGAAACTGGACCCTGGTCTCAAGTCACATGTAACAAGATAAAGCCAAACCAACTTGTCCTCATCAAGTTACATGTACCTCAATTTGTCAAAGAACCTTCAAGTCTAATACTCAAAAGACTGGCTGAATATCGTGACGAAAAAAACCTCATCCCTCTCTCATGGAGAAATTCTGCTCGAGCGAATGCGCTGAGTTGCTGGAAGGAATTCGACATTTGAAATGCCTGTGGGTATAGTGTTCAGCGGAACAAGTCAAGCCTGCATTTTACTGCACCTTCGCTGCATGCTGGCAATGCCATGGAAAGAGTTCTTGGAGTGGTGACCACACAGACCAAGAGTGTATCCAGCAAGCAAGTTACCATATGGGAAGATGCCACGTGAAAGACTTTGTCCCAAAAATGGATCCTTATTGTCCCAAGAGAGAAAAAAAGGAAAAAGCTGCATTGCATGCATCAAGGTGACGACGTGCCCAAGCATACGCAATGCCAAAGCCCAACCGTTCCTTCATTGTCCAGTGAATGAAGGTGCAAGAAGCGTACCCATACACGTTCTGCAGATCAAAGCTTTATTGCAGCATGCATAACAACAGTGGCAAAAACAGGTACCGGGTCATTTACGGTCAATTCATAATTTGTTCACCCAACCCTGACAGACTGGAACATCCGGTGTCATGATTGGCCTGTATAAGGAAACTCTACAACCATTTGTTTTTCCTATTTCATGTTAATTTTTGAGAAATGGGTCCATGAACATTGGGCTAAACTCGCATAGCCTCCCGAAATTCAATTCACGAACAGCATGCAAAGAAAAATCCATGAAAATGCAGTTTCTTCAGCAAGTGAAAACGGTTAAATCAGGCAAACTGGCCTGAACCGGTATCTGCCAGTTTTGAGTGGTTCCAGTCAGTCAGAAAAAGAGAAAAACCCGGTGCAGCTGGTTCTCACCTTCTTGACTGGATTAAGCTGCCAGAGTCATTGGGAGGGGGGGAAAAAGTAAACGTTGATGGCAAAGAGAAATTTCAAGTTTATAGCTTCAAAAATAACTTCAACACTCAATGCAAAACACTGCTGGAATACACAATCGCAGCTGACTTGTAATAAGATTTAACAAGGTGTGATGATTTTGATCTAAGTAGTTCTCTTAAGTAATTTTCGTCTGCTTTTTAACAGCTTGTCATAGCTCTAAAGTTCCGAGATTTCTGCTATTTTGTATCAAACTGTGCCACTCGGCAAAACTTGGTGGACTCAGAAGTAACTGCATTTTACGGCAGCGGCAGAACGATTTTGAAAAATGGAGGGGGGGAGGGCAGCCGTAAGACCATCAGGTATCAGCCATTGAAAGGCCGATCCATTAGGATAAAGCCCTCCCATTAGAAAGCCTCCCAAAAGAGGGACGGAGGCAAGTCCCCCCAGACAAAAAGTGGGAAGGGGGTCACTGCCCCCCTGCCCCCACATTCTTCCGTCCCAAGTGCAAATGAACTGTGCAGACAAGTCTTCAGGGTTTTCTTCCAAGCAAAGTTCTGAGGGCAGAATGCATTCTAAATGCCAATAGATAGAAATGTTGAGACTTTAGAGAGTACTGTCTGTAAGGGAAAAGAATCGTTTAAACATTTGACGTGTTATGAATCAGGAAATATTTTTAAGCTAATCTGTTTGCAGGTGAAAGAAATAATTTTCAGGGTTAAAGCCAATTTACCATTTGATGACTAAAACAATTCTTTTAACTGTAGCCATATGAAAGTTCCCGTCGAGTTTAGGCAAAACGGTCTTTCAATTCTTCTCTTGAAAAGAAACGATAAAGATATAAGTGTAACGTGCTACTTGTTTTTCCACCTTAACACTGCTTTCAAGAGAACACAGAATTGACCTTACCCCGATGTCAATGTCAAAGATCTCCACGCAGATGAATGGGGGATTGTCCTTCAAGTCCTTGCGTTTGCCGTACACAGTGACCTGGTCAAAGATGAGCACTTCATTCCAGGTGGGGCTCAACGTTTCCTCAATGACCTATGACAGACGTCCACAGGAAGAGAATTCAGAGAAGGGGATGTCAGTGGGAAATAGTTGAATGGCTGATGTGCAGGGTAAGGACCCACAGATGGCTAGACAAGCATGACACAAAACATGGCAACTGTTCCCAGAGGGAGGCAGATCAAGAATCCAATTTCAGAGAGGCAAAAATGGGAGGGGGGTAAAAAATCTCTTATGGCCTTTCTGAGAACTGAAACTACATTTTGGTGCTTTTTATTTAAAAACGGAATAGAAAGGGAAAAGACCATAGAATATAGAAAAAATTAAAAATTCACTTTCCTCTCATTGTTGTCAATAAATTTGTTTTTGCTCCGTGAGGGGGGGACATGGTCCCTACTGCCCAGTCCCCACCCGCCTTTGTTCCCAGACCCCTTTTGAATCGTAATTTGTTCAGCACATGTCTAGGAACACAGGGATTAAGCCGTATCCCAATCATGTGGCTGCAGCTTGGAGTCGCACTAGCATCTGGGTCATTGCATGAGGTTGGGGCACAATTTGTGACGGTGACCTTGTTACATCCAAAAGTTTTACCACCTGTCATGACCTCTAGAGTAGGTCATTTACTCTCTAAAAATAACACACAGCTCTGTATCCAGCCTTGCAAGATGTATAACAATGTCAATTTGGAATCCCCACGCAGGGAAATAGCTGTTCATTTCTACGGAACTCACGTAACAATCGACACAGTCACAGATTGTGCCCCAACCTCGTGGAATGACCCAACTATGGAATTTGGCTCCAGTAACCACACGGCTTCCATAGCCCAAGTGTAATGATTTCCCATGGTAGCCAGCTCACTCAGACATGGCCTGCTGAGACCCACCACAGCATTTGTACGAGGAGTTGGCTTTGCGTTCATTTCTCAGAGGGCTGCAAATCCACTGCAAGCGCTGCAAACTAAACGGCCGTTCACGGCAGGAAACTCCGTTCTTGAAGGGGTGAGGCACTTTCCTTTCAACATGTCTATGGGAATGTGTTAATGGGCATCACGGAAAGGATCAGATGCCTCTGTGAAGTTCCTACCCTTCAATTTAATTCTTGCTAAGACCCGAAGACGTGAGCTTGCAGGTTAAAAACAAAATAAAATCTACTAAAACATCTGGCAGAGACATTTAAATTCTGTAGCAGCGTCGCCAGGGCCCTTTATTGACTCGGTTGCTAGCACTTCAGCCGTAACTCCAAACCACTGCGCGGGACATTTTTTTGCCTGATCAAACTGGCCTTAACAACGATAAAAAATACTGATATTTTAGGTTTTTAACCGCCAATGTCGGATGAATTCTCTCCATCATGGCTATGATGGTGTAAATCTTGCATACAGTTTCACATTAAAATGGCCAAAGAGTAGCAAAACCTGAATAAGGCCTCTAAAATCTTGAATCTGAGTTGAAGAGATTCTGAAACCTGCAGACGCTGGGAGAGTATTACAACCCCTAGCAAATCAGGCAAGAGTGATCGACTCACCCTTGTGGCTCTGCTGTCGCTGCCAAAGATGACCCTGGCAAAGGGGTCCGACAGGCCCGAGGAGTCGGAGCCGATCAGGCCGCGGGCTTGGTAGATGTGGCACCGCAGCATGAAGTGAGTCTTGTCTGGAAGGAGAGAACATGCAGACACAGAGCTATCACCCACAGCAGAAAGGTAACAAATCTAGCCGCATATTCCATGGAACAAAAACTTCTATTTCAGATGAGTGATAATGTTGAGTCTTTTCCATTCGCAAGGGAAGCCGAGTTTCGTAGTATGGTTAGGGATAAGTACACGTAATTAAGGATCAAGGCTGTGCCGTCTAAAAACTTCCGAGTTCAATGATGGAAGCACAAGCTGGAAACATAATCAGCATGCAAGAACTGCATAAATTATTTTCATCACAAGGTTTTGCACTCTGACGGCACTCCGAATCCCACAAATGCTTGAATGTTTCCAGCAAACTTTTTCAACTGAATTCTCAGGACAGAACCTGCTACAAAAAGCTAAATTTGTACTGCACCAAATCATTTCAGAGTATGTGAGCCAACTTAAAAGAATGGGTTGGGGGTTGCCAAAGTCACTTTTGAGTTCAAGGCCTTTCACAGAGTCTCGCAACAGCAATGGAAACCTACATAATGTCTCATTTCCATTTTCATCACAATGCTTAACTTATCAGTGACACATCACAAAAAGGACCTCAGTTACATCTGATGCCCACTAGAACATAAGCACTGGAAAGCGGGCTTGAGACTCGTTTTGGAATTCCGTCACATCTGCTGATAGGAGTTTGGAAAGCACTCAGCTCAACAGGCTCCAAGTGAATCATACACGACACTGGAAACGGTGCCCTCACAACGACAGCCTGGTCGGCTAACCTTTGTATGTGACGAACGGAGGCGGGACACCAGCCAACTTGATGGCGTGCTTGAGCTCCTTGGTGGCCACGTAACCGGCGGGCAGACCCTTCAGCATCTCCTTCTTGTGCTTGACCAGGCCAAACCACATGTAGACGTCCAGCTTGGCTTGCACCGTCCAGCCGCTCACTCCCTGCACGCCTTTCTTGCCGGGCAACTGTGCGGTTGAGAAAAAAGTTCAACTCAAATCCCTGTATACACAAGTGCACCCCAAGTGCAGTACAAGGCCACTCCAACAAAGCTATACGGAATATTCCCCTTTGCCCCCAAGTTTTAATACACCTGTACACATAACTAACATTGAACTGATGGCGATTACCTGAAGATCTAAGAAGGAAATTAATCTTACTCATGAAAGAGTAATGGCCGAGTTGTCCATTTAGTTCATGGGTATGTCCATGCACAGAGGCAGCCATGAGTACAGTAGAGCAGAACTGACTACCGGTGACTAAGTGTGCAATTTTGGCTTGATTGCAATAACGGCAAAAGAGTTCTACCTCAAACGTAATTTCCCAAGCTCTGACCTTCCCATACAACTGCCCCCTCCTGCCCCCTCCCTCCCCGAGTCTCTCCACCCATCTCCACACCCCAGCTCCCATCCTACCTTGAGGAATAGAGTCTGCATCTCGCCGCACCGCTCTCCGCGTTCTTCCTCCAGTGCCGAGTACAGCAGCTTGCGAGCAGGCACCCGGGTGTAGGCGATCCGCTTGCCGTTGCTGATCATCCAGATGACGACATCGGGCACACTGTGTTGAGGCTGCAGGGAAACCCAAAAGCAGTATGCAATAAGCCTTTTGCGAGTTAACTTTGACCCAAATCTGGTACACCGAGTTCTTTAAATTCACGTGAACATAACAACTTGAATTCTCCTTACTAAAACAACTATTGCTATACCTCGTGATTCGGGGCAAGCTTATGCTTAGTTACATAAGAGATGCCTTGCAACAATACACACTGTTCTCAACGGATAAGAAGGGCACAAAGGAACCTGTCCATTCCAGAGATGGTGGTTGCTATGGAAAAGCTTGCCCCGAATCACGGGGTATAGCAACAGTGTCTTTAGTCTGGGGAATTCAAATCGTTATGTTTAAGTGCAATCAGATAACTCAGTGCACCAGATTTTATTCAAATTTAACTCGCAAAAGGCTTATTGACCTTATTCACAAGGAAGCCGTTTTTCTATGTTCCAGAATCCATCTTATATAATGAAATCTCTCAAATGGAGTGGTGCCAGACTATTTGGGGTTCCAGAACTCACTTTTTATGAAGTGTTGCTTAAAACATTTGGATATAATAAATCAAATTTGAATTTTGTTTTTCATTGTAAATGTAATTAAACGGTAATGAATTTGTTCGTTGCTTTCATATCAATTCAATGAAATGCTGTGAAATGCGCCATCTGATGCTCCAACAGCGCATACACCCAAAACCAAGCATGTCCCAGCTAGGTCACTGGGGCACGCGTGCCAGGTCTGCCCTATCAGTACGGTCCTGAACTGACTTGAGCATGTGCTTTCTTTGGAAGATGACTTCCAGGATAGCGACCATAAGAGTAGCGTGCAAACTGTCGCTCAGACCAATATACTTGACCAAAGTAGGTAGTACTAAAGACTCAGGTCAGCATGGTGAGCTGATCACTCAAGAGACCAAAACACGCTAAAATGAAGGTCAGAGGGCCTGATGTTTTGATCGAGATGTCAAAATGCCTGTAAAGTGTATTGGGCTTTCAGCGTTTCATCTTTCCACAAGGTACTTTGTACTAAAATGGATCTGCAAAGCAGTGCTTGATGATGAGACATGGCAAACCAACAAAGCATTCAGGTTTGTGATACAGCAAATCTCTGCGGCAGGGCCCACCTCATCAGCCAGGAACCTGATCCGATGCAAGAACATCTTGGCGGCCTTGACTTTCTCCTTCAGCGCCCGGGGGCTGAGCTCCTTCCTGGGCATGACGTTGAGGCGCTTGGCTTGCTTGGCAATCTCCTCCTGCAACAGAGACATATGAACGTGAGCTAGATCAGACAGAAAGCCCGGATGTGTGGTCGTCTACCAGTTGTCTTCGAGAGAGGTACATTTTGACCACGGGTAATGGACCAGATGCTTTTGGGTCCATGTCGAGGTGTAATGTCTCATTTATATTTTTCTTCTATGAGCTGGGTTTGAATCCCATCCCCCCTGCATTCATATGGAGTGGGTCTTCAGTCCAACTCATTATGAATATTTTCCCTAGACTATCACTGTGCAGATTGGAAGAGGGGAGTCTTCTACTACACGATTTCCTTTCTTTTTCTGTGTCTTTTCTTCAGGCTTTCATTGCAGTACGTGCCTTCAGACTTTGAAGAAATTCTGCTTTCATTCAAAGAAAGAATCAAAATACACTATCTTGCCAATAAACTGCTTTTTGACGTGACAAAAATTTCCCCGTTGTAAAATATCTTTCTTTTTTTTTCATTTTGTTCCGTTTTTGCTTGTTTGTTGTGGGTTTCTTTACTTGTTAATTTTCTGGTTCAGCTTACATCCAGGTGAACGGTTTTAGAACAAAACATTTAGAAAAATTACATAATAACTGTTCCGATTAGTGTAAGCAAGCCCAATCCTACTGGATGTTTTTCTGTATCCTGAACAAACTTTTCAGTTCAACAAAATGAAACTGTGCACCTCTGAACGTATTAACTGTGGGTATTACTCCAAAATGCAACTTTGGTTGATGGTCAATAGTAAACCGCATCTTTTGTGTAATGACCTTGTAGACTACGACTCAGAAACAAGACTAAGGTCACCTCATAGATTTTTATCCGGTTTTAACCCTCATTATGCAAGTAGCTTTGACTGTCTGCCCATAAACTGTGAAAAACTGAACAATTTCAATCAGTTTGAGAAACCTCGCTGTCACTAAAAATAATAAACGGAAGTATTTACTTTTTGCCAGTATCGTTCTTGAGTCCCATTTTGCTAATTTGTATCAGTTTTTAAACTTACCTGTGCTTGAAAATCTTACAAGCAAGATGGCTATTTTGTGCTTAAATATTCATGCACATCAAAAATCTGATACGACTCTTAAAATGAAAAGACACAATTATGAAACCTGCAACACAAAAGCAGCACTGATGCACCAAAGTGCCACCGATGTTGACCACATGACAATCACATGATCCCCATGTGACAGCCATGAGACAAGACATGTGACGATCACATGACTTTTTAAAATAGTTTTTAACATGCCTCAGCGTTCATCTCTGCCAGGGATGCCGTTTCCTGCTCCTCGGCTAATTCCTCCACCGTTTCCAAAGTCTTGAGTGAGCGGGCACAAGCAATGCAAGTGAGTTTACAGAAATGAAAGCAAAGATTATCATGCGGCAGCAAGTGTGGCGTGCTAGCTTGTTGGTGGGTGGGACCGACACACTCCAAAGTGCTGTGAACAACTGCAATCCAGACACACGGAAGGGTGCGCACTTCCGAACAGTGCTCAGACAGACAGACAGTGAAACTTCACTCAAATCACAGCAAGGTTTGGGAGCAACCTTCAGTTATCTGTCAAAGTTTGAAGTTTACAGGAGTACAAACGCTTGATGCACGGAGTACATTCCAGTGATCCCACATGCGGGTTCCTGTTGATGAACTGTGTGTGAATGTCAGAGACATACAAACCGTCTTCTATGACATGCATGAGGTAGTAGGCTAGGAATTCACATGTCAATGCCAAATCCACAGATGCCAACAGGAATAATGGGCATCTGTCTGTAAAGACTAGCACAGGAAGCCGAAATATCAAAATATAAAACAGAGACACTTCAGAAGTGAAACAGAATTTAGTACAGGGGATTAGTCCAAGTAATACACTTGTGGAATAAAATGGCTGGACATTGCAGGAAGACGTTGTCATCTGCCAATGATTTGATTTCACAGTGGGGCAAAGTCACTCTACACCCGCATGCACCTGTAGGGTTATTTCATCAATCAATTAATCGATGATTATGTTTGTCACCTATGGCTGCTGGGTTGCATTTTTCTCATAAGAGGGTTACTGATACATGTATTTTCTTTTGTGTAGTCTTCTTTCATATACTGTTAATGAGCCATGGCAAAAGGTATCAATGCAAAGCACATACCTTTCTTTTCATACATCCCACTAGGAAATGTTATTGCAGTTCTAAATGTGCAATAACACTAATACATATTACCAAAAATGGGTCACTTGGGAGACATTCCCATAGGAACATGCACAAAATTTTTCAAACTTTACCGTCCCATAATTCAATATTCCCTCATCCGATCTTAACCAAACTTTGCATGTTTTCCTTTCAGACCCTAATCTATCATCTCTCAAAATGTGGGCAGTTAAAACTGTCCTCCTTTTGGTAGTTGGCGCATTAGGGAGACATCGAAATGTCTCCCAAGTGACCTATTTGGAAATATAATAATTACAACATTTGTAATTCGCTTTCCATGACGTTTCCAAGCGCCATTATTATCCTTGCACATTGGGCTCACATCATCTGAACATTCCTGAAACCATCTCAGCTCCCTGGGGAGTATACTAGCCCAGAGCTGCCATTTCGGCGCAAACGGCTAATCATTACCGTGTCCGCCGTCACAGGTACCCATTTACTCCTGGGTGGAGACAGGCACATAGGGGTACGGTGACTTGCCAAGGATTACAATTCATGGGATTTCACATAAGAGGGTATTTTCACATATGCAAACACTTAATCTCGGTTTTATAATTTGACAGCAAAGACTGGCATTGACATCTGTGATTAAAGGGAAAAAAAGCTCCTGTGATACGATTGGTGAAACTTTCTAGCACTGTGCTGTGCCAGTGATCCATTCGCTTTATTTCTCTCATCGTTTTTACCTCCAGGAGTTTCAAGCCAGCTCGGCTGATTTTTCTCTGACGAAAGTGAATGCGTCTCCGTCGCACCTTGTGCGGCGGCTGAGAGCACCAAACACACACACAGCAAAGAGCATGGGAGAAATTTGGGGTTAAAGCACTTTGGTTAGAGATGCTTTTTCAAATGAAGCTTGCTCAAACTGACTTTTCCTCGAGTGAAAAGCATGGCCATGAATGCAGTTATTGGATAAATCTGAGTTCTCTTGTCAGTGATGATGGAAGAAGGGACACAGCGGCTTCAGAAAAGCTGTCTAGTATCAATAGAGATTATGCATTACTGGCATCTCCATGGTGTCTCAGTGGCTGTTTTTGTTATTTTAATTTCATTACAATGAATGCACGAAAAGTTTACTCAAACATATCCAAGTAATACAAAACCATTGCTCAATGAGGATGTGTTAATGCGTAGCCTCCATTACATGTACATGTAATGTATAGAACAGCTGACATCTTAAGCCATTACAAAGGGTCAATTCTGGATGCACTGCAACCAGGTGCTGGCATTTGTCTGCAGCTGGTAACAATTTTCACGAAATTGATCATGGCCATGCAATTTCACACGCTGAAAAGACAATTTTTTTTCTTTTCACACTTTCAAGGTGTGCATTCTCATCAGTTCACAACATCTTTTGAGACTGCCACAAAATGCAACATTTAACCTGGACAATGCTCCATGACAAGGACAATAATTTTGGCCAGAGAGGTAACTCTAGGCTCAACATATTCCAAGGCAGGTTATTGCACTGATCTGAAAAACAGGCTGCTGGTCATGTTTGAGGAGGAATTTGATTGCACACTTAGTCGTGGACGGCAAGATCGAGGGTTAGGGCTAAAAGTTAGGGTCTGTGAACAAACCTCGCTTCAAGTCACCTCGTGAGGTTTTGAATTCAGTCTCAGAAGTACTTGTGACTTGCACTCATCAATGCAAAGTAAATGATAACACACATCTTGCTATTAGGTTAGGTTACAAGATTTTTAAGCATGCCACGCATTAGCTGCAACACTGTGATTAGAATTTCTGTTAGATCACACTGGACTGCTATGGTTATGCCAATCTGTATTCCAATCGTATATTCTAGTCAGAAACGTTTCCATAATCAAACAATACATCCAGGGTTAATCGTGACATGAGACATGGCTAACCATAGCAATCGCTTTCCAATGCACGTATTTTCAATACACAGCAGGGGTTTACGAAAAGGGAGGCTTTGCCTGGGTATTTACAGTGTAAGCTATGGCAAATCACAAAAGCACACCTTTGTATATCGCAAGTTAAATTTGCTAGAACGACAACGTGAAGAATGTAGTACAAATCTTTTGCGAAAGCAACACTAAATGAGTGTAGCATAAAAAAATCATTTGTTGCACAGCTTGAAGGACAAACATGTAATTCAAACAGTTTGCTGTTGTTACGTTTACCAAAACCCAGCTCTGTTTTTTTTAGCTTTTTCCCCCCTTCAAAAGACAGGAAAAAAAGAGTTGCTCCCAAAATATGTTATACAAATCAGATATTTTTCAGAATTTGAATTCCTGAATTTTTGTTTTCTTAAATTTGTCCTCCGGGCCTGCAAGACACCGTCTCCAATGTGGAGAACATCAACCCCGACTTATTGCGACAGACAACAGGTATTATGCTCTGATTGGAAAATATGCAAGATCCTTGGAGACAGCACATGATGCACTTAAAACTTTAAAACGTTTGTCACGGCTGTTACGGTTTGTTTTTTGGGGGAGGGAGCTTTTTTGGGGGTAGGGGTGGCTCAGAGTACTCAACAGTAGACTGGTGGACCGTCAATGGTAGAAGGGTTAATTCTATTTTTGTTCGGGGGGGGGTTAAAGTACCTCACCTTGCCCCCCCCCCAAGAAATTATTAAAACTTAATCCCCTAGCGATTTGTCAGTTCATATGAGAACTTTCATTTATTTATTCTATTTAAAAACAATGACAAGATGGGGAGTTTTAAGTCTACAAAACTATTATTCATAAAAAGGTTAAAAAAAATCATAGGAAAACTCTGGTTGGATGTGTAAAATGAACTGACAGGGGAACACAGATCTTTGTTTTTTTTGTTATCCCCCAAGAGTTATTTTGCATGTTTTCTCAATCAAAACACACATAAAACATGAAACACACATAACTGTAACACATCCACGAAACACGACCAACCCACATGTACAAGGGTTTTCAGCTGAATGGACAAGTGCCCTAAACATTCAGGTTTCACGTCCAGCAACTCAGACCTCGAAGCCTAAAAAAAAAATGGGTCGGGCCAACTGTTCATGTCTGCTCGTTGTATGGCCACCTTTTCAAAGACGTGCGCGGAGCATCTGCCAGAACAAACTCCGTGATTTCAAAGTCATTTCCATTTACAGGTTTTCACGTTTCAAGTTTCTGTACAAATCTGAATCAGCTGGTTGACAATTGGTATCATTTTGCCTTCAATTTCCATTTTCAAATGTAATTTGACAGTAGCTTCGTCTGTAAATATTTCATGATGCTATAAATGCAAGCCAACAGTCTTCCCTCCTTGACAACAAACATGACTAAACTTCTGGCATTTCTAACTCAACATAAATCACCTTTTTTTAAAAAGCTTTGGTTGGATATGCTTGGTTGGATATGCTTGGTTGGAGTTTTTTATCGGAACATCACACTTCCCGGGCATCACTAGTATTACGTCTGTTACGGACCCTTTTTTTTTTCTCAATCGAGTGCAACTACCAACAACAGACAGACACACACACAGACAGGTACACACAAATTCTATAGTCCCTTCCCCCTGCTCTGTACCTCTGCCACCCCACCCTTCCCCCGGCGAGGGGAGGAGTCTGGGGGTCCCTGCTGCCGTGTGGTGGTGGGGGCGTCCTGTGTCTGGCTCAAGGTTGCCAGCAGCTCCTGTACGTGCTTGCTAAGTGTGGTCTGGGTGCAAGTTTGGTAATGGTTAATAGCGTAGTTTCTCACGACTACCGACATTTCTTGCTGCACAGTGCCTGAGCCAAAGGGTTAATCCAGCCCTTATGATCAAACAAGATCCTTCAAAATCCATCGGTTTGGCAGTATTTGGAAGATTTTAAGAAAGGAGGGCCCAGTCACTTTTATTTCAACATGAGAGCTGCATTAGGACTGCAAGTACATGTGTTGAATTGGCTGCTCGATTAAGTGATCATTTATCTGGTTACATGTTTGTACTTGATTATTTGAATCCACCTCCTGACAGTCACAACTTCCGTTCAGGGGGTAAAGGAATGTCTAACATCTTTTCACGCCGAAAGTCTTCAGCATGGACCATCTACAAAACTCTTTCCAAAAGGAGAAAGCGAGGTGAGCACAAAACAGGGTTTATGTGGTCGAAAGGTACTCATAATGTACTTTAACAATGCCACTCAGCTGGCATAACAACTGGAAAAACAGTACACAGAAAAACTTCTCTGATTAGATGAAAGAGCAATTCCAGAGGAAAAGATTAGCTGTTAGGCCTTATGCTCCATGAAAACTGGTGTGGCTGGTTGCCTGTACTGAGAGATTAAGCCGGATTCAGGAAAGTTCCCAACAAGAAAATGTAGAGTATGTTTAAAGATTCAGATTTGGAATGTTCCAATGCAATCTTGGGGAAAGATTTTCAAAAATGCATTTAATACATACAAGCCTATCAGTACACGAAGTGCTAACATAAAGGAAATGTAATTTGAACAAAGGATTTCAACAAACGATTTCAACAAAGGATCGTGCTTGCAACACCAACAATGCAAATGGGCTCTTGTAGGGAAGGCTGGTCATTAATTCCAATGGCTCAAGTACTGTGAGTTTGTCTGCACTTTTTTTAGCAAGGGAAAGTCAGAAACTCTACAATATCAAACAGCAAATTCTGGCTGAAGGAGAGGTCATCGATAGCAAGTGTTTGGTTTTCAGATGCAAAAGCTCGTGAAGATATTAATGGAATGAGAAGACGAACTATGCTGTTTTCGGAAATGGAAGGGAATTTGGCTGCCACTGAAAGTTTGAAAATAAAGTGTTAATAGATCAAAATGTACAATTCAAACGGTCATTCAGTACAAGGAAAAGAAATCTGAAGATTTGTAATTTTCTATGCCATACACAACCATGCTTAGAATGGCATTTGAAGAAAACAGAGAAAACGAGGGGAATCTTGCCCTGTGTTCATGGTGGATAAACCCTTGTGCATGCGAAACGATGCACGTAACCATTGTTTGTAGCCATTGTTTGGCATGCACAAGGGTTTATCCACTACGAACATAGAGCGAAGGTTCCCTTCGTTTTCTCTGTTTTTTGTGAATGACGCAATCTACATTCAGAATTCGCATCTTGGCAAGAACAGATAAAAGCCCTTTTTAGCTTGTTAATGTTGAGCTCTGAAGACAAATGACACTGCATTTGATTTGGATGCTTCCGTATTTATTTGAACAGTCTAAAATCAGAGAAAAACATGCTTTCCTTAGAGGTGCTCTTTAACGGCAAGGAACAAGATCATTCATGCTGGTACAAGACCAGGAGCCGAGTGCATCAGCAAAGACAACCAAGCAACTGTGGGGGAATATCCAGCTGAAGGAGGTTGCGTAGCATTATACAGATAAAAGAACAACTGGATGTCAAGGTGTTTTCCCACGATCCTCCAGGTTTTTAGATCATGTTGGCCCCAGAGGATTTCACATTGTTCTATCTGCATGCTACGCTCGCTCGTGGTAACAATACTGAGAGCATGACGTTAAAATCTTTGGAAAAAAGTGTTGGAGACTTTGGAGGCAGACTGAATTAGGTCTGTTAGACCTTAGTGTCTCTATGGAGACATTTAGGGATCTTAACCCTAACCTCCTAGGGTGTATGTAAAATTGTACTGAAATTGGACGATTTGGGACTGTTAGGGTTAATAGACGAGGATGGATGCTTAATACCTACCATTTCTCGCAGGAGCCACTTGTGTCTCTCCTTGTCCAGTTTGGTCTTACCGGCCGTCCCTGCTCCCTTGGTCACTTTGGCATAATTGCTGAAATTATAACAATAAAAGCGTTCAAGGCCGGGGCCACTTTCTGCTTACCAGTTAGCAGAGAAGTCTTGCTTCTTTCAGCAGAAAAATGTGCTGACCTCGAGCACTATTTCAGGGCGGGGCTTGGCCTGGTTGTGCTTACGGTTGCGCGTGGACAGACATTTCCACTGTTTTGTCAATACATTAAGCACATTTTTCCTCCAAGTTATGCGTGCCTATTACCGTGCATACTGCCTACGGTCTCCATGAAGTATGGGGAGCCTCTGTTAGCGTAAAACACTGTGCTCAGCAGCACCATGGAATTGAGCCCGGGTCTGAATCAACTCTCTACAGCTGGGAGTAAAGGCCACTTTATAACTGCTTCCGTGATGTGCAATCAGATCTACACGCAGTTAATAGTTACCACTAAGTGCCAATGACTAATCGCCAAAGGATAATCATTTGATCTGCTGCACAGTTCAAGTGACTGAAGTGTTGGCAAGGTCGATGACCTAGCTTTTCTTGATTGGGCCAGTGCGTGTGCGATCGTCACACATTGAATTTGCACCAGTTTGGGGCATATCAGGTGTACTTAACACAACAATGTCGCATGCTCACTTGATGAGCCACGGGGAATAAATTCTGAGATCATTTCAAAATTGTGGCCAAAATTACACTTTCATCGGCTGCTGGAAGATTAAGAAAAGACATTTTGGGGGTTTTGAAAATATACACCATTGTACATCGGTAGTTCTCACCCCAAACCATAATTAAAATTCTGTAGGGCTGTCTTGAGCAGTTTGGCCGGGTTGCCTTTCTCTTTGGAAATCTTCTCCAAAACTTCAGTTAGCCCTTCATCCTGGAGATGACAGAAAAATATCAACGAAAAATGACATGCTATCAAACAAACGTAAATGTCCAGCCAAGCCCATGCATAAACCCAGGACTTTTAATTTGTGATGAACAAAAATCAGTGGGAAATCATTCAGTTTGGTTATAATTACAGTGCCACTGTGTTTTGAGCTTTCAAACCGATGAATGGGCTTCCGAAGGACACCAATACTAACCCACCTGCCAAGGTATGAAATGCTTGAGTCGTTCTAGACTTATGGCGGGGATAACGACTGTGGAATCACAGCTCTCCTTCCCCCACATTTCCCCCATCTCATCGTCGCGCATTTGTTGTTTCTGCGCCAAGCCTCCAGGAGCTTTTTGCGATGATGTCTAGCAATCATTTTGAACCCTCTTCTCTGAAAACTGGAAGTGCCGCTTTTTACCAAAAACCAATCATTATGAGACAAGTAAGCCATGCACAAATACTTCCCCCACTGACGTGCTCAATGCACGCCGGTCCGAACACATGTGGCCACGAACTTCAAATAACCCCCACAACAAAACCATACGTAAGATTGGATTGAAACTTTGCACATGTACTTATGATGAGAGTCTTTTCATCTGAACCAAGTTTCTGAAGGACCGGCCATGCGACAGCCAGGTTCCTTGGGGGCAGAATCCACCTCCCCTGGCTGTGAGCCGGTCCAAAAATGACTGGCTCTGTTAATAGGGTCAACGCACAGGGCAACACCGATATTCTTTACCAGTTTGTCGGCAATCTGGAGCAGGATGTTCATGTTGTAGAGCCGGCGGCGGTGCTCCTCCGTGGTGAACTTGAGGTACAGGCACGGCTTGTTCTCCCCCAGGGGCAGGTAGTAGTAGGTCTTGTCCTGGCTGAGGGGCTGGATCGGCGGGAAGGTGGACAGGCTCTGCTCCGTCTCCTCGGTGGCAGGGAGGAGCTGGGCCTCCTCCTCGTCCGAGTCCATGGCCACCCGAGCGTGGAGGTTGCGCCCGTCCAGCTGGTTGCCACAGTTAGCTTCAACAAAAAAAATTGATTGCTCCTTTATCCCTTGCAAGAGAAATATGTCTTTCACTAGAAGATTTTTATCAGAAAGCGGAGAGCTGGACTTCGTCTTCCCCTCTTTTTTCCCCAGTTGGACGTAGCATGCACAGTCTGCGTATCTATTTTCCATCCCCTCCCCCCCAAAATGCTTGCTGACTAGTCACCTAAAAAGTACAAATAAAGAATGTCTGATGACCTACATCAACGGCATAATCTTGTATGCTCTTCGTACTTCCACTTGGCTTTCGTGAAACATTTGGCTAATGCCAAAGCACCTGTTTGACTTCCTTTTTTAATCAGAGACAACATGAAGCGAGTGAAATTCAACACCAAAAATCTTTGCCATTTTCAGTCTTTGACCCATTGCACATGAAGCTCCGTGTACTAAGGTCACGTAAACTTTGATAGGAAGTGCCAAAGTTCTTCACTTGTAGCATACAAACCCGAAGTATCGCCACAACTATTTGAAGATATGATTAGCAGACTTTAAGATTCCTTATCTAGCGTGGCACACTGACATGATAAACGTCTGATCGTAAATTCACCCCCTGAAGCCGTATAATAAACGAGGCAGCCAAACATTTCCATGACATTGCTACCGATCATTTAAGCTGGGCATTTCTCTTTAGCATCCAGATATCATGCTACACAACTTTAAAATGGCTCGTGATCAAGTCGTTTGTGATGTTTAGCCTTGTGCTATGGGCTGATGTCTGCATCTTCCATGAATGAAGCCCAGAGCTCGTTACTTCCAGCATTTTACTCATTTCAATTCTTATTTATGTTTAATACAGAAAGCAACTAGGAAAATGCGGACAGCTTTCCTCACCAATTGAAAACTCAAAGGTTACTGGCTTGTCTGCTGCCGACTTCTCAATCATGTTGGCCTCAAAAACAGTGGCAAAGAAGAAGAAATCGTCCTTCCTGCCAGCCGCACCCTGAGAAACAAAAATTATCAGTTTAATACCTAATCTGTTGCTCGAAAAAGGCAAATTAGAAACATTTCAGCCTACAAGCAAAAGGTTCTACCCCTAAGAGGCACGCTAGTGCTGCTGCAGCTGGTTGTGCTCTATGGCCACATTGTGCTTCAGCCTTGTGCACATTCCAAAGAAAATTAACGACAAATGTTTTCTGCATGTACACGCAAACTGGTGCCTGTACAGGCTTGTTCTTGTGTGTTGCTCGTAACAGCCATGGGTCCTTGAGAACACTGTATGACAAATGCTGCGGTGCAAACATTATAAATTCCATTCTTTGGAGGTCTCTGCATGTTCAGTTATGAACTGGTCACAGGCAGTTTGCACACTTTATAAAACAGCAACCAGCAAGCATGCTCCACAACTGGGGCGTAATATGTGAACAAAGAGCAGGCTCATTTCTGTGTAAAACATAGCACCAAAAAGGTAACACTTATTAATGACCGGCTACCCAATGAAAACTGGCATTCTAATCACAGATCAGACTTATTTCCCTGGGGCTGACTGAGGGAAAAAGAATAAAGCAGGAAACATTGGTACAGGGATTCTCAGAATGACGTTAATAAATCAGTGCAACTCTTCAGGGCTTGTAACAGCCAGATAGGAATAAGTTCTCTCACAAACGGCCACGATGGTGTGATTTTTTCATTTGGGTCGACTTCCAAGATTCCTCTTTCTCTCTGTCTCAGGCTTCACCTGGTATTCAGCCAGCATTTTGAAGTTGTCGGTTCAACAATCAGTAGGAGACTGCCAACAAAGTGCCACAATGCACATGACCCAAATATTGAAGCATTTCTACTCAATTTGAACAACGCCGGCCTAACAGTGGGTACTGATTTCAGAGACGGGGACGAAGCAGGGTACTGGCAAAAGATACCTATATCATGGCCAAAAATGTAATAAATCTAAACGACTAATCTTCTAAAATCCCACTTTTTGGGATACAAATTCTTGAGATCTTCAGAGATTGTAAGAAGTCACTTGATTTCACTCCGCGCTCAGGTCCAATTTTCTTAAGTTGAAGTCCCCACCTCCGAGATGGGCAGGGTGGGCTCCACGTCCACCCTGATGCCCCCGGACTCCAGCGCGCTGTCCTGCACCTCCGTCTTCAGCGACATGAGGAGCCGGCCGCGGAACTGGCAGCCTTCGCCAAAGCCCTCGTTCAGCTTGCGGGTCTTGTCCACCGTGTTGTACTCCCGCTTGGAGCCATAGAGGTTGATCCAGCTGGGCCCAAAGGTCGGCAGGAAGCCTTCCCACGGAAAACAGAGGGGAATGGCCATCAAAATCAATTCTGGTGGTTACATGTACACATTTGGGTAATTCCAGAAATTAGGGGTCCATTTTTTTTCGTGTCCCGTCACATCTGACATATGATTTTGTAAGTTCAAACCACATTTTTTAATTTCCAAGAGTGATTAATTAATGCAAATTACCTGCCAAATAGTAACAGTTTGAAATCAATTCCGATGATATTTCCATGTCAAATAACAAAGGTCAGATGTAACAGCAACACAAAAATGTCACACTTTTGGACCCCTAATTTCTGGAATTATCCATATGTTCTAGGATAATAATGCCATGAACAGCCTGGATGTGATATCCCTACAAAAATGGAAAGGTGTTTGGGGTGGATGTGATATCAAACCCAGAACGTGAATTTTGGCAGGCATTATCGAACATCACATTTGAGCCAGAAATCACATCCGGGATTATGGTTGTTACAATGTAACTCATGATGTGATGTTAGACCTTCCGGGATGTGAGTTTGGTGGTGTGAATGTGACGCCAGATAACCCTTACCCAAAAATCCCATCCAGGTGAGTCGCCTTTCCACTTTTTGTTGGGAAGTCACATCCGGTCAGTTCACAGTGTATTCATAATATGATAGGTATGTAGTGCACTGCAGAACCCAGCAGACTTTCAATCAAAGATCGTATAGCGCCAAAGGCCCAAGATGGATAACTCTGCCCAAAAGATGTAATTATCATGGGTGCCATTTGAGCGAGCGATACGCCTGCGCAGTTTACAGTAATGCTTGGGCGCAGGCTCACCAGGTGCACGTGCCTGCTGCGGCGCCTGCGCCTTTGCATTACTGTGCATTGTGCAGGCGTATCGCTTGCTCAAATGGTGCCCATGCGATTACAACGTTATACGTGCATTCACGGTGAAGTTCGCCATCTTGCGCCGCTTCGCGGCGCTATAAGATCTTTGCTTTCAATGAACGTCCTACCACCTTGTTCCTCCTTGGGCTTAGAAACAATCCTACATCTCAATCCACGTAGAGTATACAGCCATCGATGCAACCATTTCAGGTGCTGCCAGCTTCATCGAGCACAGAAACTCTTTTTGTGAGAACACAGGAGTATTCTTTTTTCTTGTTTCATGACAAATGGCATTTAAACCAACTCCCCCTTGTTTTCTTTGATGCAATCCTGTTTCCATCCTGTTATGTTGAATACAAGAGAGCTTTTTTTTTCAGAAACGCTCAGCTGTTTCAAGGCCATTTGGGGGGACTCAGAATGATTAACACACACACAAAGGGACTGAATATTTTCTGACCACTTTTGAGAACTCAGATTTTGTTTTCAAAGGGTCTGGACTGTTTTCTGGCAGGTTATTTGATGATATTTTATCTGGGACAGGTTTTGGCTGTTTTCTGTCTGTTCTTTTAAGCAGGACTTCACTACCCAGACTGTGTTCTGGATTAACATATTTGCGGATATACCATAATTGTCATGGCACAGCACCTCACGTGAGTTCTTAAGCTCGACACGTGCATACAGTTGACATATCACGACAATGCGTTGGTGGGAGAGGCATGTAACACACCCATGCCACCTGTACACCAGCACTGTGCCACAGCAGTATAGCTTCTAGCTCTCCTTGACAAATGAAACTTTCACTTCCCTTTAACCCTCACTGTCCTAATAACAATATGGACCCTTAAGCACCACTGGCTATCCGCCCCAAGCTGAAGTGCACCCCCAACCGGCCAAAAAAAGACAGGTGGTTACAAGCCGGTTCTTGCACACATTCTGCATGTACGCGAAGACCATGCATGCCGGAGTAAATAAGTTACGCGTACTCAGCGTGCTCCGCATCAAACACGCATAGACTTGCACGCCTCATGGCACGCCTATGTGGTGAGTATCAAAACAAACCACACCCTCTTTTACAGTTCCGCTCGCAGCAGATAGGCAGAAAACTGCTCTTCTTCTCGCCACTTACCGTCGTTGCCCTCGTAGGAGATCTTGGTCATGTCGATGAAGTGAGTGCCCACGACGTCGTCCAACACAGAGTCTTTGTCCCGCAGTTGGATTTTCATGCGGGAGCACAGCGGCGGGAACATCTCGCTGAAGACGATCTGCTCGTTCCACTTGGGCTCGTAGCAGTGCTTCTTGACGGAGGTCTTGGCCTACAGCCGAAACAACACAAATTACTCCTATAGAGGTTTTCAGTCACATGATTTTTGACGGTCAGCATTCAATTTACACGGGTGTGCAGGGAAACATGTGGGCCTTCAAAGTCTTTCAACATATTGGCGTATGTGAAACTGCCAAAAGAATACACACACATGAACGCCTCCACAGACACGGTACACTTCCTGGAACGTCTTTGCCCATCACATTACGTCACGTGAAAAACCTCTTAAACCTTAGTTTTTTCTGTCAGATGTATTTAGTTATGAATTCATTCACACCGTGTGCTTTTATGGTAGGGAAATAAATACGAGTTTGAGCTTGGTTGGTGTTAAATGTGTAAGACTGGTATCTTGGATGTCCATATACAGTCTAGAAATGAATACTGTCGCGCATTCACTGAATGAACTAGCTTGCATGTAAAAAAGTTTGATTTGACCAAAAAACCTAGAGTTTGACACACACAGAGTGTTTCTGGTTAAAACTTAATCAAGAAAGCACTCACCGTTTGTCCAGCAAAACTGACTAGGACATATGGATCCACCAGGTCATTCAGGGCGCCGGTGAACGCCTTCTTGACGTTGGCCAGGAGCCCTGAATTCATGATAGGCAGACCCTCGGCCTTGAAAATGCGGACGGTATATGTAGCCCGCTGCCTGACCCGCGGGATGTTTTCCGGCAGGAGAAGGTTCCTGAAAACAACAAAATACAACTTTTTTTTTTCATATGATCGGCACCCTTAACCCTAACCTTCCCTAACCACACAGAATTGAACACCAGTAAAGTGTGTGAATTTGTGGCATTGGGTACTGTACCCCTAAACTGCTTGTGCTTTAACATGGGTTCAGGCATACCCAAAATAAACAGAGTCCAACAGTCTTTGTGCACAGTTTACCATATGATGTTGGGATTTCTGTGAATGGGTATGGTTCCTAGTAAATCACTCTGGGGAGTTAGGGTTAAGGAGAACGCCCCTCCCTGGAAAAGTCCTACATCTTCTACCGACAAGTTTAAGTTGTTGAACAGTGCTTCAATCAATTTCTGTTTTCCACCTGAGGTACACAATCAGTGCATCGGGGTACATTGTCGGGTTATAGGCATACTTACGCTTCGACATCATCATCCTTCTCGGTGGCCTTCTTGGGAGGTTTGACGCTGTCCCCTTTGGACAGGCAGACAACATCCACCTTCAGGTAGCCCTTGACGCCTCCGTTAATGTCATGCAGATCGGTCAGGATGGCCCACTTCCGGTAGAAGCCATGGTCTGCCAAACAGGTTATCAACCAGTACTGATGAGAATGGCTTAGATTTTTTATTTCACTCACAGCAAACTCGTCCTAGCTATAAAGTCTGAGTGATATAAGCATGTACCTGTAGTAAAGTCTATAATCACGGAAGTTTTAAACAACTTTCTGTCTACTTATGTTGCATCACTCTGGAGCCCTGAAAATGGGAACCAGACTAGTGTATCGTGAATGGATGCAAGGCTGCATCCAAATCTCTTGTCTAGACCTAGGTCTTGGTATTCACTCCATTGGAAATGTGTGGAAACGCACAGACAATAGACCTAGCTGTGGCTCCAGAAGCCCGTTTCGGACACGGCACTAAGACTCCAATTGAAAAATCCTCCAGCGGTATGAATCTACCAGAAGCAGAAATAAAAAATCTCTGGAAAGTAGACACATTATGATCTGATTGAGAAAGTAAAGAAAATCCCTTAGCTGTGGTCAAAACACACTTGGGTTTATTAACTGACAGCTGGTAACTATTCAACAGCCTCTGTCCCCTTAACACTGAAAACATGTGTCAAGCATAACTTGCGCATGCTTACATTCACCAGCCATTTTTCCGACAGGCTGGCTTCCCCAAAAGCATGATATTCAGATTGTTGTTAACCCTGATCTAGGCGAAATCCCTGCAGCTTCCTGATACTAATCAATTGTGTAAATATTTAATACATAATTAGTCAAATGCTCTTACCTGGTGCACGGTACACTGTGCCAACATCAAACTTGAACGCTCCAATCACAGTCCCTGATCTAAGCAGATTACGCGAGTGCATCGCCTACCAACAATAACAAGAAAAATGTAAGCTCCACGGTGCAAATATTTATTAAACGTTTTCCTATTCCAGTCACAGGTAGGTAACCAAACCAGGATGTGACCCGGTTCAGTCTCAAGAAATTGCATATTTTAGACTGCATGGCCAACAAAACAATTTGCCTCAAACTCAATCCTAAAATCAACCCCCACGGATACATTTTCCTGAATACTGTCACAAAAGTTCTTGTGGACGGAAAAAAAAACTTTTGATTGGTGTACTCACTGTAGAAAACAAAAGGAGTTTTAGCTGAAAAGATGAAGGTCGGTTTTCACGTTCTGAGTGAGATCATTTAAAAAACCGATTTTGTCAAGTAAAGGCATGATAGATGACCCTGAAGGAAAATGAGGAAAAAGTTCCCCTTTCATACCCCAAAGTATGATGATATACAATGTACGTGTAACGGTAAAATACAGAGTGCTGATTGGAAAAATCATAGGAAATGATTGGACAATCTTCAATCACTTAAGATAGGAAAAATATTACAGCAGAAAACAGGAATGTCATGATTTCTTTACAACACACAAATATGGGGGAAAAATTGAGTGTGCATGTATACATAGATGCACAATGACCACGCACTGAATAGGAGTTTACTGTCTTCCCTCCGTGTTTCAATTTTCTCCACAATTTGAAGGTGTTGAAACAGTGCATCCTTCACATTGTCTGCCATGGCGGGCCAGGGATAAAAACTGCCTTCCATAAAGTCTGGTCTGCGGAACCAAGTTGGCTCATCAGGATGGTGTTTATCTCCGGTTTCCTTGGCATGAAACGACTGATATTTCTATTCCCCTCTGGATGGGGATGCCGGTCCATCGCAGGTTGCCTCCCCAGCTAATGCTGGTACCCATTTATACTCCTGGGTGGAGAGGGGCAAGCAGGGGTGAAGTGGCTTGCCAAGGGCCACAACATACTGCCAGCAGCTGGATTCGAACCTCCAACCCTGTGATTGGAAGCCACTGACCCTAACCACTAGGCCACATGCCCCCCTGCCCCCTTCCATAACCTGCCTTCTAAATGGTTTTCACACTGGCTGTCATCATGAGATCCGTTTGGATTTCAGTACGCTGAACTATATTTCGAACGAGGAAAGACAAACAGAGAGGTCTTTTTGTTAACTTACAGAAATTTTGATGATCTTATCAAACACCATCTGCCGGGGATCATGGAAGTCAAACACAAACAGCTGCAAGAGAAGAAAAAAAATCACCCACTAAATACAAAGACACACGACGGCACTTTCTCAATAAATTAATTACCCCTGCAAGGAGCCACACCCACAAAATTACACCAAGTTTCCATGTGGATAATAAAACCATCCAGGCCATTTCCTGGTCATGTCTGTAGCTCAGTGCCACAATGAACCTGTACGGCTGTTTCATGGTTGCTAATACACCCATGAGGTCCCCTCTCTGTCTACAATTCATTTGGTGCTGTGAAAGTACAGTAATACCAGTCACAACCCAAACAGCCGCGACCTGTCGGCACATGTCCATCAACAAAGAGATCCACTCAGAGGCCATTTGGCACTCCTGGGAATACCAGTCTTTCAACAGGCTTTCAGGGCTAGGTTAAAGGACTTGGCAGTCTTCAAGCACATTAGTAACTTGAGGATTACAAACATTTTCTGCTTAATTAAAAAAAAAAAGGGTTATTCAAAAAATGCAAAAAGTGGGATGCGATTTTATCCACGCCGGTTACATAAGGGGTATTTACACATTAAACTAAAGTGTGAAATCCATTAATAATGAAGCCGATTAAATAGAGTCCCTTTTATTTCCAACAGAGCTGAAATATGACCAGACCAACACAGCAAAGTCTTAAAGGGTAGGTTTTAGTTTTACAAGTTGCTGGTACTATCAATTATTTTGAGTTTCACTTTCAACCTGCTAACATCAATCATGGAACCCCATTACGCCCTTATGCACGTACATGTATATAGCAATTCCTGATGCAGTCAACACAATAGATCAGAGCTCTCTCATTGGCCGCCATCTTTGTAACTGCGTATACAACAGGTGCATGTGCGGGCAGAGTGCAAAATGTTCTCGGCGTGCGCACATGCTTGATCCAAATATCTTTGAAATAAGATGTGCATCACAAAACACTGCAGTCTAAAATGTACCTCTGTTTTATGGGATATTCATGGACAGAACACATGAACGGTCATACCTCATTGTAAAATGGGCAGTTTGTGGACTGCTTGACACTGGTAAATTTCTTCTTGTCTCCCACTTCGATGCAGACGACGGGATCAATGTCCAGGCCAGCCAGCTGACGGGCCTCATGAATGGTCACAGATATCTGAACATGTGGCAAATCAGAAATCCAGGAGAATGTACCTGTAAGTGTGGGGCTCTGGTGAATTAGAAGCGATTAATCCAACCAAAAAACTGCAACCATAGGAAACTGAATGCCTGGATAAACCCACGTCTGATTGGTAGGTCATATTGGTCATGTGCAATTGAATTATTCATTGCAATTATGCACAGAGTTCCATTCATAAAACAGAAGTAAATGGAAGTTCCATTGGTGACTCATAAAGTCAGAAAGGCACTTTAATTCACATTAAGCAGGGATTATGTGTTGTTTAAAAGTACATCGTGGATCATTCTTGCATTGGAAAGAACAACATAATCCCACTCAGTGACTAAATGACAGTGACAGTATCGTCATCATATCAATATCAATGCAAAAAAGAATACACCTTGAAAAAAATACATCTTGAAGATATCAATGCAGTTATTACCATTGCACTTATATTCACATTCACAATTTGTATAACAGTCTGTGATTATAAACACAAAGCATGTTTGTGTATCGTATTAGCCTCCCAACCCCTTCTGTGACGCAAATCGTTTACGTAACATACACATAATCTGTGGACAACACTTGGAGGCTCCCCTCAGAGGTAACAGAGGAGTATACTCAGATATACATGCATTCCAGTGGTATCACGCAGAGGTACAATCTACAAAGAAAGGTCTTAATGGGTTCCATGCTCCTGGACCTGAGGCAATGACAGGTACTCCACAATTTGTACTTGGCATGCCAAAAAAATTTAATGAATAATATTTTCACGATGCAGAACTAGGGCAGCAACAACAGAGTATCGTGTCATGATCTACAGAAATCATGGCATTATGGTACTGCAGATGCTGTACGACTTACATGGTGTCAGGTATCAGGAGCTCATATTACTGTAGGGTATGGCAGATGTTTGACATGTACACACAGTATCAAATCACTGGCTATATCCACATGCTTAGTAGGTTTGATCTATTTTACTTGTTTAATTATTAGTTTTAATAACTATTATTGTGATTAATGTTTTGTGCTCGCTATTTGTTGATGTACTTTCAGTGTATTTTACATGTATTGTAATTAGAATATGTAACATTCTTGTAATTTGGATTGTTGGGCCACGATAAGAATGAAATAAACTAATGAATGAATGAATATTGAATAAATGCTACACACGTGTGTATGCATGGGTTTAGATTTTGAAAGCCTGCACTACTGACACAGCTGCTGATTTTGTTATAGGATTTCATTTCAGAGATGCACGTCCCAGACACATAAACACATTGACAACCGGGCTAGCGTGTATAACTGTGATTTTAAAAAGCGTGGGCAAGCAGTGGGCGACACAATGGACGGCAACGCATTCAGTGCGAATTGCACGTGACGCACTCAGATTGCATGTATTCGTTTACACATGCTCCCAAAATACGTTCTTTTTTTTTACTCTTTGGTATACTGCTATCTCTTCTTTTCAAATGTTGCAACCGCATTGTTTCGAATCTGCACGGGCTAGATTACGTAAACAGAGGATTTTTTAACGATCGAAAAATGGTTTCATAGAATTTTATGAGTGGAATTCAACCATGCATAAGTTCCCTATCACGAGGGGTGAATTTGCCCCCGTTTTGGATTTAGTCAGGTGCCGTCTCCGCTACAATACCCACTGTTTTAAATAGGAGCTGCCCGTCAACGTGTTTATATGTACACCAGTGTACCTCTTGAACAGCTACCATTCTCCTTTACACAAGACGTCTCTTGTACAGTTTTTGGATTCTGGCACCTGATGTCTGCTTTTCGTCTGTGTTATTTTTTTTTTTTTTTTGCTCAAACCTAAGCATCACATAACAGATTTTGGTTTTGTAATGCCGTGTTCAGTATTCTTGTGGCTCTACCACCAGTGTGTTGATAAACAATTACATTCTTATGCAAGACATTTTCATCAGGTCATTTAAAGTTCATCTGTAGGNTTTGCATCATTAATGTGCAAGACTTCATAGGGTGTACGAGCAGCCACTTATTGCTCTGTATAATATAAAAACATTTCACTGTCTGCGTACGAGTCAACACAACTGTGCATTTGGGGAGATATTTCTCAGAGAAATATCTGTTGGACCCCCAAAAAAATAATCTCAAAAAAAAATTTCTTAATTTAGCAGGGTGTGAAATCCAGTCGGGTGCAAATGTTAAACCCATGAATTGATTTTTAAGTGGCTTTAGCAGCTTCACAGATGTGTAGTCACCAACCTGATAGTCCTGAGATTTGAAGGAGGCATCCTGTCCCATCATGGGACGGAGTTTCTTGGATCCAGGTATCACATGCTCGTCGTCATCTTCGTCACTCTTACTGGCCGTTTCAGCTGACCCTTCGTCATCTTTTAAGCCACCAAGGAGCCCCATCCCTGTGAAGAAAAGTTCAATGAAACATCCATTGGGAGGGTTGGAGCAATGACAAAAATACTGTTGCTGTGATTTGGGGGGGGTTTAATGGCTAAAAGGCATGATTCTCTCCCAAATATGCTAAATGGCTGGGATGATGTCAGCCTTGTTCTTGGCTTTTTGTAATGCCTCTTGTACAAGCATCAAAACCTCTGATATTAAAAGATCAAACCACTGATATTACTCAATGTTGTTAATAACAATAAAAATGTATTCATTTATAAAGTGCAAAATTTCATATATATATATGTTTAAATGCATTGTACAATTAAGACATTAAGCATGGAACAATGAATACATTTAAACGTGGTTGAGCCGATGGCATACAAGGGCGCCTCAGGCAGCTGCCAAACGACCCACATTCAGCTACATCAGTAAAGAGGAGGCAAGCAGTTACAGTATGAGAGGTGAGAGGAAACCCCCAAAGGAATATTCTGGCTAAAACCCACGGAGTCAGGTAGGGACTGAAAACCCAATCCACATGTGGACCGGGGCCGGGAATTGAACCCGGGACAACAGAGGTGGAAGGCGAGGAAAGAGCTACCTTGCCAACCCGACTCCCCTGTTGCGGTTAAAAATCCTGTTTCGTTGGGAATGCTCCATTTGTAAGGCTGCACNCTTGCATCATTAATGTGCAAGACTTCATAGGGTGTACGAGCAGCCACTTATTGCTCCGTATAATATAAAAACATTTCACTGTCTGCGTACGAGTCAACACAACTGTGCATTTGGGGAGATATTTCTCAGAGAAATATCTGTTGGACCCCCAAAAAAATCATCTCAAAAAAGAATTTCTTAATTTAGCAGGGTGTGAAATCCAGTCGGGTGCAAATGTTAAACCCTTGAATTGATTTTTAAGTGGCTTTAGCAGCTTCACAGATGTGTAGTCACCAACCTGATAGTCCTGAGATTTGAAGGAGGCATCCTGTCCCATCATGGGACGGAGTTTCTTGGATCCAGGTATCACATGCTCGTCCTCATCTTCGTCACTCTTACTGGCCGTTTCAGCTGACCCTTCGTCATCTTTTAAGCCACCAAGGAGCCCCATCCCTGTGAACAATAGGAACAAAAAGTGGGGGCTGCATGAGTCCTCCTTACAAATCCAGAATTCAAGCTTCAGAGGCTTTGCACAGCTGCCATCTTGCAGGTCAGTGTGTTGTTCCACATGACGGGCACAAAAGGCCTACTCATGTCATATCCCAGTTGGAAAAAAATGACCTCCAAGATGGCTGCCACGCAAAGCCTCAATAGGATATCAATAAAAACATGCCATACAGTATTTAATCTGAAAAATTTTCAACAGAAGCCTTTAAGACATCAACAAAGCCCACCGAATCGAAAATATTGAAGAACAATATCTGGCAACAAGTTTAAATGGAAAAACAAGTCACAGAAGTGTCCAAATTGCAGAATTACGTAAGCCTGCCACAATTCAAAACAGGTTAATAGATACCCAAGGAACTAGAACTTCAAGGGCAATGCTGAGAGAAAAAACGCAACCACTAAACGCAACCACCTTCCACACAATTAAACAGTGAATTCATATCACATTATGGTCTTCAGCACTAGCAACATTTGTGACCAGATGTAATCTTAAGTCTGATGGAGTCCACTTCAAGTGGAGGGCGAGATCGGGGAAGGGGGGGTGGGTGAAAAATTCCATGAAACATCCATTGGGACGATTGTAGCAATGACAACAATACTGTGGCTGTGATTCCGAGGGGGGGGTTAATGGCTAAAAGGCATGATTCTCTCCCAAATATGCTAAATGGCTGGGACGATGTCAGCCTTGTTCTTGGCTTCTTATAATGCCTCTTGTACAAGCATCAAAACCTCTGATATTAAAAGATCAAACCTCAGATATAACTCAATGTTAATAATCATAATAGTAATAATAATAATGTATTCATTTATAAAGTGCAAATTTCATATATATATGTTCAATTAAGACATTAAGCATGGAACAATGAATACATTTAAACGTGGTTGAGCCAATGGCAACAAGGCTTGCAGGGTTCGACCTTAGCGCTGGTCCGCTAGACAAATTCTAGTAAAAACCGCGGCGGACCAGTCAAACCCGTCATCTGGGTAGTCCGACTGTCTAGTGAAGCAAAAACAATACCGACCGCATGAAATCGGATGGCGTCATTAGCTAGTCTACAGTAAAAAATAAAGCCCAAACGAAGTCTGGATCGGCTGTTCAAACAGTTCTGTGCAAGTCTTGCTGTATCATAAGTCAGGGAGTTCTAGTTCTGTCGGATAATAAAGTTTTGTAACAAAATGTATTCTTATGTGTCTATTTATTATGCCACGGACCTTACTCTGGGATTTTACTGTAGTTTGTATACAAAACAATGCGTACAGCTGGTACTTATCTCATGGGAAAAACGAAGAAGTAGTTTGTATACAAAACAATGCGAAGAAGTAGCGTTAATTAACTGAAAACATTTAGTTGTCTTGCAAGTTCAGATCAAGTAGGTTCGTGAACAAGTCTGAAGTTATGTGGCGATTTTTCCCCTCTGTTTCTGATCCTGGGGCTGGGAAATCTACCAGT